GTAGCTTTAATGTAATAAAAGAGGAGGTCGAGATATCGGTACATTCATTCCAGAAGATAACGATATAACAAATAAAGCAACGCTTCATTCCCCGAAATGTTCATCGACCTATCGTAACTTTACCTTTTTTGTTCTTCAAATAAAGATTGATTATGTTAAGTATCAGTTAATTTATACTGTTTTTAATATTGTCTTTAAAAGACATGACAAGAGTTATGTGAGACATTAGCTTATTTTAGAGCGTATCAGAGTGGGTATACCATAAAGATACGCGTACTTTGTTGATGGGTTTGGAGCAAAGAGAGATGTCTGTAACGGGCGCGTAGGGCGCGTAATAATATGATCACAGGGATTCAGACGAGAACTCGTTGATTAGAATGCTCCGAAGCTTCTACTTCACAAGAAACTTCTGCTTCAAAATTTACTTTATATCGCTCTCAATTATTACGGCTTAATCGAAAAAAAAAACACCAAATTTAAAAATGAATCAATGTTAATGACTAAGGAAAGAACACAAGCGCTCTAATACAACAAGTTTTACTTTATGATTTTCTTCACAAAGATGTTGTTCCTCAATTATTGAACCATCTATAGAACAAACTCCAATAATCCCTATCAACACTTTAAACCAAACATCCGTACGTAAAACATGCAGGAAATAGACCATTATATAGGGAACTTTACAAAAAAACAAAAAAAAAAAAAAATAAAAAAAAATTAAAAAAAAAAGAAAAAAAAAAAAAAAAAAAAGAAAAAAAAAACAAGGCATTCGAGAAAAACTACAGAAATAAAACCAAAAGCAATAACCGAAAAGCTATAAAAAAAAAAATAGAAAAAAAAGAAAATTTAAAAAAAAAAAAAAAAAAAAAATTAACAACCAAAAAAAAAAAAAAAAAAAAAAAAATAGTATTATATAATCTTCTAATAATTGTGCGATTAAATCTTCTCGATGACGAAAATATTACTTCTAATTAAGTTCAAGATAAATCGGTGGGGATCAGTACTATTTCGATAAAAGTTGAAGAAATTAATCGAAAGAAATATCTTAAAATACAAAAAAGTGCTTTCAATCGAATCTTTTACGCAACCTCCTTCACCACAGTCATCGACTAATAGCAAAATGAACTTGAACATGTCAAGATTCCTTCCACTGAATCAAAATATAGAATGAGAATTTGCGATATTTGCGATGCACCACCAGAAATATTAGAAATCAATCATTCGGAAACTAAAAATGATTTGCAGAATAGATCCAGTATTTCTAATGTCGATGTTTCAACAGAAAATAATTTGAGTTTTCATAAAACTATTTCCGGTTATGGCGGATATAGAAAAAGTTCTTATCAAGAGAAAGTTTCCAAATGATCTCCCATGTCTACACACCACCTGAAGAAAATCCAAAAGATTTATTGCGAAGAAATGATTCATCAATGTCATTCTCAACATCATCACCATTTGATGATGGTTCGTCCAGCACAGACAGAATTGTGCCGATCAAACTAAAACAAACACCATCTAAAAAAAAAAGCAAAGAAATCAAAAGCTAAACGAAAACATCAAACAAATTCAAAAAATTCAGAGCCACGAAAGATCTTGTTATAATTCCTATAGTTGTCATGCCAACTCTCTTCTATGAAATTCTCTGATTTTGATAAATAATATTGCACAGTTAAATCTTGATTTGGATATACTTGAACGAGCGCTATTGTAAGAAATGTAGAGGTGATTTGGTTGAGGCAAGAACGAGAAACGCGCATGAAACTGAAGACTTTCTGCTGGCGATCTATCTATGGAATTAAAAGATATTAGGCGCCGTGTTACTTTATAAATTTTTAAAATTTTAAAACTTCGTATGTTGTGATCAAACAGGATTCAAGACCAAGGAAAACGGAATAATTTTCTTCATGTTAATACAAAAAAATCTCAATCCAAGATTTCTAAATCCAAAGCTTCTATTACTGCAGTCGCTTGTTGCTCAATTATGTACAGAAATATGGCAATCAAAATCTCGATATGAAAAGCAAGTGGGATAGGAAAGGGGTCAAATATAAGAGTAAAGAATGGATAGCTGCAATGTTAATTGTGGAATCTTGGAATCGGAAAGACATCATTTGTTCATCTTGTTAAAACTTATTGTTTAAAAGTATAAAAAGGAAACCAATTCTCCTCTGGAAATAGATCCATTAGGAGATTTTGGTTTTCTTTTAGTCTATTCTAATTGTAGTTTATTGTAGTGGGAGAGCGGTACTTCTTTAACAATTGCAAGTACTCAAGGATGCAAAATGGTTCTTAATTCCGGTGGCATGACATTCGAAATAAAAAAAAGTGGAGTCCGTTGTCAAAGTAGCAACAAAAAAATACATTGATTATGGTTTTTTCAGCCACTCAATGATAAAGCTGGAAAGAAATACTTATCTTAATGGGTAAAATTAATGATATACTTTACTGGTGGTAGAGTAGTATCGCCGAACTAATTAAATTGATCAAGAAAACAAGTATCTTCACTCAATGCTCAAAAACTCAAATCGTCAAGGCTCAATAATTATGACAATTGTAACGAGAGAGAATTTCCAACAGATGTGGACGAATTTATTCGAGAAGATAATACCGATTTTTAACTTGTTATCCGCATGGAAAGTTTACCATGATAGTATTGATATGATGAAACAAAGTCATTAAATAAAAAGATACTTTAAAGAACATGCATCTCTAAAAGCATGAGTAAACATAAAGGAATTGATAATTAATCGTTATAACTTGTCTTATACAACAGGGTATGGTCATAGCTGGTGCTGGTGCTCTTAATGCATAATTTGGTGTAAAGAAGTTTGGTATTTGATGCCTTAACTAAGACTTTACGAAAAAAACATTTACACTAAGAAACTGGCAAAGAATTATCGTAAACCAATGAAACTTGTCTTTATAAACTCTTAATTTGTGACACGAAATATGATATAATGATATAAATGATATAAGCATTGTAAAAAAAAAAGTTTATAAAATTAAAAGTGATGTATTTAAAGTTTACAAATAGTAACATCATCAATCAAATATATGAATGATATGTGAATGGTATGTTTGGATACCAAATTGTAGCGGATGATTCTATTACAATAACTTATTGAGATAAGGAAATATTGCTGGAATAATACCCATAATGGCAAGTATAATGCCATCTAATCTTGCAAGTGATTACAGAGAATTTCGCTTTGTCTATTCTAATATAATTTTGAATTCCGGCCCCAACGTAGCGACTAGCGAAGCGAGGAATTGACAAATCACGTGAGGATTCGTTGTCACGTGAGTCATTTCTGATTGGATAAAACACGTTCGTTTTTTTTTTTTAATAACGCAACTTCGCCTTTTTATAAAATTTTCTCTTCATTATATACGAATTTTTATATCAAATAATTTTGTCTGTTTATTATCCATCTGTTGCTTTTTTGTCTCATCTCAAAATGTATCATCTCAAAATACATCTCTCCAAGATATATCAACTCAAGATATATCATTTATTTATGAAGAACTGAAGGGTTAAAACTTTATACTACTTACCTCTTAATTTTCAAGCAATATTAATGATGTATTAAGTAATATTGATCAAAGAATACCATTAATTAATAAAATTTTTTATGTTTTTTGTTTTCAAAATTATTTTTTTTTTTTTTTTGAATTTATTTATTTGACATTAATAATAGCTGTAGTAGCGTTGTCACAATTACCCTTAACAACTTTGATTGATTATACTAACAATAACTTAATTTGGTTTATAGCTGTCGCTCCTTAAGCTGTCGCTCTTTAAGCTGTCACTCTTCAAACTGTCGCTCATAAGCTGTCGTTTATCAAAATGATAATGTATGCGTATATTGTAAAAAGGTTGGGCATTGGATTAATGAAGGTAAAAAAAAGGCCCTGTTTTAGCAATATTTTATTTTGTGTGAGGTGATAAATTAGTATATTAATTAGTTGTTATCATCGTTTATTTTTTTAGCATGTTAAATCTTGAAGCTGAAACTATTACTGTTGAAAATATCGATAATGAAGGAATGTCTTTTCTGTTGATGATGTAGGATATATATATATCCAGAACAAATTGTTGTAGAATTAACAGTACCTCGATTTAAGACTTCTACTCTATCTACACTTGCCTATCTACACTTGCCTATCTACACTTGCCTATGGATTAGCCCATGAAGCTGAAAATCCAGCAGAAATGATTAGAAATTTTTTGTACTTTGCTGAAACCTATCCTATCGATTTTGAAAAATGAGTGATCGTAGAAAGACGGTCAATAGCTCGTTTGGAATCCCCTCGTCGAGACGGTTCGAATGGTACCAAAATCATCTTTCTAACATCGAGTTATTTTTGCCAATTTTGATAGAAGAAATATATTGATTTGGATAAATATCAGGTAAATGCAATTTAACCTTATAATTTATCATAAGTAATATGATCTAAGTATTAAATATATTTAATTACTCATTTAGTATTATGATGTTACAATCTCTTCTATTGATTCGGAAGAGATTGATGATAGAATAATCTATATGGATGAAATAGAAAAAAGAAAAGAAGGTATATGGAATATGTGGAGAATGTAATGCTGCCGTGATAACGAGATCAAGGCTGATGCTAAAGGAGAGGGTCGGTTAGCTTTGTTCGTAATGGGAAGAATAACAAAAGGGTTCTGATGTATATGAATGGTGTTATGTAAATTTTCCTTTGTATTAGTTCTGCATCTATTACAAATAAATTGATAACGTGTTACCACAAATAAAAAAAAATGAGATCAAGGCTGATCCGTGAAAAAAGGAGGGCTGGGTGAATAGACCGACAGATACTTAAGTTTTTTTTATCAATTGATCAAAATAAATGTGCATCCAATAAATTTGTAATAAGTATGAATAAACCATTATGTCATTAGGGCGGCCAATACGTGATCCTATTGTCACTCCATTATTCATTAATTTACAAATGTATTTCATAGATTCGTAAATTAATATCATAACCTAACTTATCTAGCGTTATCTAAAATTGAAGTTGACACCTGGTTCCTTTTGAGCATTGACTTCATCTACCCTGTTAAAAAGTCTAGACCAGTTGCCTAATGCTAATATTGTTGCCAAGTCTCCTCCTACGTTACGTTCTGTAAGAAAAAGGCAGACAGTACTCTAATATCTTTTGCAGACGAATTCGGAAAAGAAAGCTTTACCACTGATATAATCCAATTAGCGATGGTATCTGTAGCCGCGGGTGTATGTGGTAACTTCGAGATCAGAAATAGTACATGTTTATTCTTAGGATCCCTCCAAGTTTGGGTTCTATTTAATAAGCACTGTAACGCATTATATGGAATCTTCTTCATATTGTCCCACATAAAGCTTTTTTGCTGAAGATTTAGATGTACTCAATGAATGTGATCTAACTATTTTGTATTCCTTCGGATCTCTACATTCTAAAGTGTATCCTGAGCTAGATGACTTAATTGTTGTAACATTCACCTTCTTTAAGTCCGAAGGTCTACTTGCTGTAACTAGGGCTAACAGGAAGGCTGTTTGATTATCAGTGTGTCTATTTTCTGCTGCTTTTTGATGCCAATAAAAGGATTTTTCTAAATTCTTTTCTGTTCCTTTTCCATTGTAATAACATATAGCCAAATTAAATATTGCATCAGTGGACATTTTGTCGTTAGTTCCCAATTCTTTAATATAATCAAGTGAAGGTGTTATATCTGTAAGGTCATCAGAGTGAATTGGTGGATTATCGATGTGAATAGATAGCATCGTTTTTTTGCGACATCCGGGTGTGTTTCGATCGAATACCCGTCTACATGTTCGTGGATTTCGGTACGGTAACCCGCGATTGTGTTATAGGCAAATCCTTCCGATAACATATCCACTAAAAAATGTCTGTAGACTAGGTGACATCGTTTTTGATGAGATCGAATCCAATGCCGATATGAAAAGGTTGATAGTTTTCTAAAAAGCCTCCATAATTTTTGTTGGTGACTTTGGGCAGTTACCTCCGGTATGTGGCGCCCATGTATTCTCAGGACTCTCGAAAATCAGATCATTTATCTGAGGATAGTCGTAATGCGTATCAAGAAATTTATAAACTTGAGGCTATGCAAAGACAAACAGGTAACTCGGATAAACAACAACAATTCAGAAATCTGTCATATCACTTACGTGATGGAAAGTCTACACGATCCGACTGGGAATTATTAATGACGCGAATTCCAGAAAATATTCCTAAATCAGAAAAAAACTTCTTCATGTTCTAACAACATGGGAAGAAGTGGATAAATAAACTTCGATTATTAAACCAACCGTTGCTAAGATTCATGCGGTACATACGGGTGGATCTGAAGCTTCTAAGGTCGATTCCGAAACTGCAAAAGGAATTGAAGCTGAAATATTATTATGCAGAATGCTGCTGGTCTTATAAATAAGGTAATGGGACAATAACAGATATTTTATATAAAGAGAAACCCGAGTACACCTCTTTACCTGCAGTTATTTTAGTATTTGACAGTATAACGGTCCAACTCTTAGGAATATAGAAGGGATTCCGGTTGTACCTATTGTTCCTATAAGACGTATGTGGGAAGGTAAAACCGGAAGTTGCTCTCGTTTGCAATTTCCACTTTCTCTTGCGTGGGCCGTCACGGCTCATAAATCGCAAGGTCTGACTTTACCAAAAGTTCTTGGGAAGAAGAAATTTGCGGTTGGCTTGTCATTTGTAGTGTTCTTTCTCTTGAAGATATTCTTTTCAAATACTTTAGTTTTAACAGACTTGAGCGTATAAAAAATTGTAAAAGGTTGAAAGAGCGAATAGCAGAAGAAACTAGATTAAGTGGAATACAACGATTTAAAATTTTCTCTTTAACCAAATTTTTATTTTCAGTTTTTATTTTTTTTTCGTTGAAAAAAGATTATCAGAACTGAATATTAGTGTTACAAAAAAAAAAGGTTATACTGTAATTAGCATTTTTGTTATTAGTGATACTACTTATGCTTATTTAATATGATACATCATTATTTGATATATTATTACCATCACATTCAATTACCTGAAATTTAAATTAACCATCTTTTTTTCAATCCCCTCCTATTCCTTTCCATAAATTTTCGATCAGATTTGAACTATTGGAAGGCCTTATGGATATTTCTGAATAAGAAGTTTCATTGTTTCTTTAGATTATACTTAGGGTTATTATTCTAAAAAGATTTTCAACTAAAATTTTATAATAGAAGGTACCATCCATAATACCCGTGAAAAGAAAAAATCCAATTGGTCCTTTTGCCAAAAAGTACCTCAAGTATGAACTTTGTAGGTGTTTTACCATAGATTTTTATGGAAACTGGATGCCAACTTTATAAAATACTTTTTAAGTATTTTATAATATCTGAAAGGTAGTTTTATTGGAAAAAAACAACTTGTTTCCAATTTATATTTTATTATCCATTCCACATAGCATTATCTATGAATTTCTGTAAAAACTAAAAAGTGGTACAGTTTTTGACATTAAAAACTGTTCTTAAGTAAATATTGAAGTTAAAATAATAATTATTTAAGATTTCTGCAAGTTTAAAGCATATTAAATATTTGTTTTTTAAAACAAGCTGTTTAAAATGATGTTGTTTTTTAGGAGTTAACTTTTTGGTCTACTAAAAGTCTAAAGAAATACCATTTTTGAGTTTTTTTAAGTAATCATAGAATAGAAGTCATTTATGCAAAATCTTAATGTCAAATGCCAAAATTTTATATGAATCTTATTATACTACTCTGTTATAATATAAATAATACTTTACATTTACTTAAGAGTTTTTAAATAAGATTAAAATTATATAAATCCAATTAGTAAAAGTGGAATTATTATTTTCCAAAGTTTTAGTTAATTATTAGTAATTAATTAATATACAAAAATGTTTAAAAAAATATTATATAATTATTATTTAGAATATAGTAAAGAACTTTTTACTACTTTTCTACTGTTATAGTATTAGGCAATTAATTGTTAATAACTTATGTAAAATTACTTCCATTTATTTATATCATTTATCAATTTTCTTATTTAATATAATGTATAATAGACAAAAAAAAACAATTAGAAAAACAAATATAATAATAAAATCTAAATTTCTTTCACAATATATATCCAATTAATAAAATATTTTATATAATAATGATATTAATATTTATTTGTATAATTGATATGTTTATTTTTATATATGAATTCATATGTGTATTTTATAATTAAAAAATAATACTCTTGAGCTATCTTGTAATAGTTTTATTATATTATTATGTAATGACCTGTTTACTTTTGCTAGTCTAATTTCTATTTATTATTATATTATATATTATCTATATTATCTCTTACACATACATGATCAATCAAAAATCAATTAAACTTAATTGATCATATACAATTGATTTTTTGATTAATCATTAAATTTAAACCATTATTAATAATTGAATTTTATAAAAATTTATCATTTTTTACTCATTTCTTATTTTTATTTTTATTTATTTTAAATTAACATTTTTACTATATTTTAAGGTATTTTTTATGCAAAAATTAGAAAATAAATTAGTTTTCATATACTAAATTTCCATAATTGACCAATTTGGATAAATTTAAATCAATTACCCTAGCTTTATCTCAAAAAAAAAAAGCACTGGTTAGGCAGCATTATGCGGAATTATGCACTATTATTATGTGAATAGTATAGTAATAAATAAAATGTGAAAAATAAGATTTTATTTACTCAAAAAAACTAATAAGTCCTTCAAATAAATATAAACAATGAAAACATTAAGGAATGTAATGGATGTGATGATTTTTACATGAACATACAGTGCTTTTTTTGAAGGTGATACTAGGATAGATTGATTGAATCAATTAATGATTAATATTAATTAATTCAATTAAAAATCCTCCTCTTAAGTCTTAAATTACTTTATCCAATATTAATCTAAAAATTGCATAATTTAGTTTAATAAATTATAACTATGAATAATAATATAGATTAACATTATTATAAATGTATTTTTTTAAATTTAAAAACTTTAAAAATTTGAATTAATACTATTATAAAAAATATAAAAAATGTAATTTTCTTTATAAGTATTACTTACACTTATGAAAATTAATATAGTACAAGTTAAAGCATAATTTTTCTAAATATATGCAATTAGAAAAAATCCTATTAATTTTATATCCATATTTAAACTTTAAATTTGAACAATTTTTTGATATTACTTTAATTAAATTTAAATTTTTGGCCTGATAATCTTGAAATTCTAGTGAACACATATATCAATTCTATAATGTTTTCAAGAGATTGTAGGTTTAAAAAAAAACAATCCCACACTTGGTAATTTATAGAATTCTTTATCAGTATTCAAATGAAAATGGTTTATATTTTTACAATTTTTAAAATTAAATTGTAAATTTGGTTTCTAATAAATTTTTTTTTTGAATAGAATCTTCTTCAATAAAAAGTTGCAAGTCCAACATCCTATTGTCCCTAATTTACAAATGTATTTCATAGATTCGTACATTTGTTAAAATTAATATCATAACCTAACTGATCTAACGTTATCTAAAATCAAAGTTGACACCTGGCTCCTTTCGAGCATTGACTTTATACTCCGATAAAAACGTTGGTATACGGAGTTTCTAGACCAGTTGTCTAATACTAATATTGTTGCCAAGTCTCCTCCTACGTTCTGTAAAAAAAGCAGACAACACTCAAATAGCTTTTGCAAACGAATTCGGAGAAAAAGCTTTACCACTGATTTGATCCAATTAGCGATGGTATCTGTAGCCGCGGGTGTATGTGGTAGCTTCGAGATCAGAAACAGTACATGCTTATTCTTAGGAACATCTCTCCAAGTTTGGACTCTATTTAATAAGCACTGTAACGCATTATATGGACATAGTAAAGAATCTTCTTCATATCGTCCTACGTAAAGCTTTTTTGCAATGAACGGGATCTAGCTATTTTCTACATTCTAAAGTGTATCCTGAGCTCTACAGGAAGGCTGTTTGATTATTAGGTTTCTAATGGACATTTCGTCGTTAGTTCTCAATTCTTTATATAATCAAGTGAAGGTGTTATATCTATAGGGTCATCAGAGTAGAATTGGTGGAGGATTATGATGTGAATAGATAGCATCGTTTTTGCGACACGGGTGTGTTTCGATCGAATGCCCGTCTACATGTTCATGGGTTTCACTAACTGCGGTACGGTAACCCACGATTGTGTTATAGGCAAATCCTTTCGATAACATATCCACTAAAAATTCGCATACGTATTTTAAAGCGCAAGTAGTGGGATACAATGATCGTTCAGCATACCAAGATATCCATGTCTGTAGACTAGATGACATTGTTTTTGATGAGTTCGAATCCAAATGCCTATATGAAAAGGTTGATAGTTTGTTCTGAAAGCCTTTATTTTGGTACCGCGTCTTGAGATAGTACACGCGAGAATTTTTCATTTCGGATTTTGTAGTGGTGTCTCCTCTCTATTCATTAGCTGACTTAATATAATAAATATAAAATAATTTTTGATTCTTTTTTAACAAAAAAATTTTTTTCAGAAAAAAAAAAAAAGAAGGTTAAAAATTTTTTTTAAAAAAAAGAAACGTACCTACTTATAATTGAATTAGGAATATGGTCTTAAGCGGTTGGGTGACTTCTCGGCAATAATATCGATGGTGCTACCAACATTTGTAGCATCTTAAACAGTGATATCCTTTCCAATGCAGATCATTATATCTAATCGGAGGAGAAGGAATAATACCAAACGGAAGCGGTTTTGATAGAATTTTCTCCGAAATAAACCCAGGAAATAAAAAAAGAAAAAGCCTTGTGGAGATTTCCCAACTCCTTTCAACAGGGTTTCATATCTGAACAACATTTTAAATTATCTTTATTTAATCATAGAAAATATGGGTGAAAATGTGATTATATATATACCTTTCAAAAAGATTTGCATGAACTTTTTAAACACATCCATGAATTATAAATTTGAAAATATTTTTTTTTGCATATACTTCAAGTATCGGAGCTTGGACTATCATCAGAATTTGGATTATCTAAATCTACTTTATCTGCAGGGTATTCCCACCACTCTTGAGTATCTATCGATTCAAAGCGGAATTTCCAACGAATAAACGGTTTTGACTAAACTACGCTTCCTAGTTTTGCTTAAGTAATAGATTATCAATTAAAGCCTCTTCGTCGGTTAAAGCCTCTTCGTTTCGTTTAAAGCCTCTTCGTCGTTTAAATTTTCACCGCCTTCAAGTTTCCCCTGTAATTAGATAATGTTATATTTGAAATCATAATTTCATAATTTTCAAATTGGTAAATAATTATGTGTTTGGTTAGATTGTGTTAATATGTATTCTTATATAAGATACTTAATAATACTTACCCAAGTACGCAATATCGCGCAGGAACCTTTACCGATAATTATTGTTATTGCTGACAGCTGTTATAATTATTCAACAAGGATTGACTGAACTATCAGTAGATCATACTTCATTCTGTTTATAACTCTTTCCGCCTCTAAAAATAAATATTGAATTTCAACCAAAATCAACGATTTATATTATATTCATATCAATAATTTACTTAAACAAATCATAAAATTTAAAAAAAATCTACCCATGTGATATTATTATGCGCTCGTTGCAGACATCTCTCTTTGCTCCAAACCCATCAACAAGGTACGCGTATACTGCATTATCTTTATGGTATACCCACCCTGATACGCTCTAAAATAAACTAATGTCTCACTTGTCGTGTCTTTAAAGACTATTAAAAACAGTATAAATTAACTGATACTTAGCATAATCAAATCTTTATTTGAAGAACAAAAAAAGGTAAAGCTACGATATACCTGTGCTCAAACCTTAGGTCGATGAATATTTACGGGGGAATGAAGCGTTGCTTTATTTGTTACAACGTTATCTTCTGGAAGGTGAATGTACCGATATCTCGACCTCCTCTTTTACTACATTAAAGCTTCTTGTACCTTGTTTCATGGTTCTTCAGCGTTATTTTTATTAACACCGGATTTTTCTATTGTAGCAGATATCCTATTGAAAAGCGAAGTACAGTCAACTCTCTATAAATGCAACCCCCAGCCCCTCGAAATTGTATATGGGTTGGATATGTATTAATGAATAATTATTTTTTTTATTTTTATGTCGCAAAGTCGTAGTACAAATTATACAGATATTAATGAATAATGAATAATTATTAAAATCACATGATTGTGAGTAATTCAAATTATCGAATCTTAGATGTTGATAAAATAAAATTAATTAATATTTTAAAATTAATATTTATATTAGTCATCAACATACTAACTTTCAAAGATATTATTTCTTTTTATCATTTTCTCACCATCCAGTGATCAGATTGAAATAAAAATCATTAGCAAAAACAAATTAAAATGTTCTAAAGACTAATTTAGTATTAGGATGCTCTACTTTTCAAAAATTTTATTAAATAATATCTTACATGTGATGGATTCAATAGATTTAAAAAGCCCAACTAATTTTATAGTATTTGTCATATTTCTAGTAAAGGAAAAAGCATTTCATTAAATTAAGGGACCCGTAAAATTAAATGTTCAATCGATTGTAAAAAAAACTTTCTTTTAATGCACAATCTGGCGACAATGAAATTTATTTTATTTGGCTAATGAAGAAAACATACAAATAGTAACATCATTTACAAGATCTATCAAATATATGAATGGTATGTATGGATGCCATATTATAGCGAATGTATTTAAAGATTCTATTACAATAACTTATTGAGATAATGAAATATTTCTGAGATAATAATCATAAATCTTGCGAGATTAAAAAGTCCGCTAATAAACATTTTTTCATGATCATCCATTTAGATGAACAATGTATGTCGATTAGTTCTTAAGTTTTAAAATGAAATAATATGAATTATATATAACTAAAGATCTTAGGTTACATATAATATTATATAAGGAATTATATCTATAACATATCTACCTGGGGGTCCTGGGGGAAGCTCTTATATTAAAGTGATATTAGGTAATATCTGACAGTACCCTTATTATCTTCTATTCAAATTAATCATTATACGCCAAATTAAACGTGTTAACGATACAGTTATCGGTGTTGCAAGGTACCCAAAATAAACAATTACTGTTTGCTTTGACGGTCAAATTTCTCTGGATCAGAATTTATATATATAAAATTTTTTGTAGAAATTGCAGAATAATTATTATAAAAAACGTTTATTATAATTTATTAATATAAACTTTATACTAAGCAGCATGACATTGGACTTTAAAAACGTATTTTTATTTACTGCTGTTTATATTTATAATATTTAATATTAATATTATCAAATTAAGTTTGAAAAAATTTTGTAGTCTACAAAATTCAATGATTTGTGAAAGAGATTTTTTAGAAATCGTTAACTCAAGAAAAAGGTGTTTATAAGAAGTTAGTTTATGAAATTTATGCGTTAAGATATTCACTTTCATTTAAAGTTGGTCAACGGAACTTCCGAAAGAACCTTCCCCTTCGTTAACAACCTCCCATCTCGGTCCCTTTGAATTTTTAATGTTTTGCTGCTTATATTCTGTTGCACGTGTACGCAATCTTGTTGTCCAAACATTATGTTGTTTAGATATAAATGTGTACTTCTTTGATTGCTTCGATATCTTCGACCTCGGCTTCCGTTCCATCCCAACAGCCACAACACTCGAAACATTTTCACTTATTACTTATAATTATTATATTACAAGCTGCGATAACAATTGTGAATAAAATTAAATCTAAATTATTACAAAAAATCTCCCAATTTTGGATAATTAATATTTTTTGCAACATCGTATAATCATATATTATAATATATCCCGCTTCATATAAAATAAATTATAGAAACCTATAAATTTTATAAAAATTAATTATTATCATCATCCAAACAAGAATATTCACATAATTATTAAAAAATTATAAAGTACACTTACATCAAAAAATTTAATACAAAAATACGAATGTTCTTATCTGTCAGATGATCCGGATATATTTCTTCCCTGTATCTTGACACACGGGTCGCTAGTTCTCTGACAAACGAAGAGACAACATGACCGGATAAAACGTCAGGCCTTAAAAAAAGCCAAAACACACCAAGAGCCGAGTTGCGAGTTTCTTCTCATGTAAGTTCCACGCGAATGAACTCTTGATAGCGGGTGATAAGGGGGGAAGAACTCTCGCATTCACCTGTTTGCGTTATTAAAGATAAAATTATAATCAAAATATAATTCATTCCTATATCGCAATAATACATATTTTAAACCTACCACGGCCATTTGATCACTCCGGATTGTTGCATAAATTCGTTTTGGTCATTTAGTATTTTGACCCCGGTTCAAACCTTATTGGTACGAAATGAAGACTAACGTCATCATCTCGTCCACCAGTCTTCCATTCAGTTTCCTCATATATCGTTGATCCTGTTATATACAGGATGTTTTTTTTTTGTTTAGAAAATAAATTCTTATAATTATGTGATATTGCTAGATGGATCACATAATTTACCGGAATTACGTCGCAAACTTCAAGAGGATGGAAAATGTCCCTTCTTACGACAACGCAAGGAAGGAAGGGATAAATTAAAAGCTTATTGCGCGCTATTTGGAAATAGGCTCTTACATCGATGGGTATTATCATCTTTTTTAAACATAGTTTGCGATGCGGAAGTTTGTGTTAATCTTTCAATATTATAACTAGTTCGGGCTTCGTTTCTATGGTTACCTTTTATTTTGAAGTTTTTGATTGTTTTCTCAACCATTTGATGGTCCCTTTCAGAAAGGCCCCTACGTAGTTCGTCAGGAGATCCGAGTCCCAATATTTTGTTACAATTTGTATATGTGGACCACCTTGATAGAAAGCGATTGCACTTAAGTCAATGTTTGGGACGGGCGGATTGATAATATCCTCAGCTCTTCCAGTAATAGGACTTGCTTCCTTCTGGGTAAAGAATGATCTACCTACAGTAACATGTGCGGTAGAAACCTTGTGACCGATTATTACGTCCAGCGCCATTATTACTTATTACATAAATGATTATAATCCATTATGAGATTCATTTTTATTAAAAAGAAAGAAAGGAAAATAATAAAAAAACTTACCCGTTCGGCAATTGTTGGTCATGCTGCTTCTTGCTTATAAAAAATTGATTTAGTTCTGCATCACTATGTGCCCAACTCTTTATTTTTATCGTAAATTCTTGTGGTGAAGGTCCACTCGTCACGACTTTGTTTTCTAGTTGCACTAAATTTTATTTAATAATATTAATATTCAATACTGACACATTTTTAACGAAAAATAATTTTTTTTTACTTACTATCGAATATTGGTCTCGCGCATCCAAGGAGTAGTACCATTCTCCCACTATTACTAAACACCAATTTCTCGCCGCAATAAACTAAACCAAATAGAATAGACTAAAGAAAACCGATAGAATAGACTTAAAGAAAACCAAACAGAATAGACTAAAGAAAACCACATAGAATAGACTTAAGAAAACCAAATAGTATAAACTAAGGAAATCAAGTAGACTAAGGAAAACAAAAAAGGCATTGAGTCACAAAACAAGTTCTATATTTTCAGGTGTAATCGATACATCGTAATGTAACTTAAATCGGTCTTCCTTCACGTGGTCTTCTTACGAATTCTGTAATCTCCATGATGGATAAGAATATAATAATATTTCACTGTTACAGTCAGACCTCCATAATTGCACATTGTGCATTTATAGAGGTCTGACTGTATTAAGCACGAGTGCTTAATAACAGTGAAAATAGGTATTGTTATAAAATTTTATTTAGGAGGTATTTTTTTTTTTTTTTTTCTGATTCAAGCTTGGGCAAAAATGAACGATTTTTATAATAATTCCATGAGTGATTGATTGTCATACATGAAAGTTGTACAATTATTGTATAAATATATGTTTTCGGGAATAACTCAGTGTGAGTTGATTATATTTTTTTTCGCGTGAAATGTGATTTGTAAATTAACGGCTAAATCCTATTGAGCTTAGTTCAAATGCATTCGTAAGCCTCATGAGCAAGCTGTCTGCAAGCACACAAGTGTAAATGAGATTTCAGATAACATATAATTTATTGAAAGATTCTTACTTTACATTGAACCATATGATCAAAATCATTTGATCACAAAGGAATTTCCTGATGTATGAATTAAAAAGTATATATTACAATCAGACTTAAACGCGCTTTTATTTTGTGCAATACAAACAAAAGTTGTTTAAACTTGTTGAAAAAACTTACATAATTTTACATAAATGAGATTAATGAAAGACGCAAACGAAGTAAAAAGATTAAATTAATTATTGGCGTAAAAAAAACTATGCCAATTAAGAAAAGCCCCCATTCTTCATGGGTTTCTTTATTTTTTTAAATATATACACATACACTGTAAATAATTTATTGAATATATTATATTAAAATAAATTTACTGTAAACATATTTTACTATAGTATCATTATATAATATGGCATTTTTTTTTATAATTTTATTATCTCCCTCTTAAATATATATTTATTTGTATTATTCAAACAGAAAATGCCTCAAAAAAGATAAAAACAACTAAAAGACCAAGAATCATGAGGAGGATATATAGAAGACATTCTATTAAAAATGCCACCAATAATAGATACACATTGGGTTGCATAATTTATGAATATCTTGTATTACTATATGCTATTCATCGAAATCACCTTAACCTTTGTTGTGGTATTGCGTTATTGCGGATCAAAGCCCAACCAGCAGTAATCACTAATATGATATACTATACAAGTTTTTTTTTCTTATTAAAATTAATATGTATTTCAATTTATAGGTCAAAAAATATATATATATATATATAGTAACGTCATAAAAATAGTTCCGTGTGAAAATTTTTTTATGTTTTCCTTATCTCCTGCAGGAGAAAATGTTTCAAAATATAATGTATATACATATACGTTGACGCAGTTGAGCAGCTAACCCATTTTAAAACAACCTACGGTACTTTTTTATGCATATTTGTCATGCATATCTTGCATATCGCTATCCCAAATCAGTTTTAGACCTGTTTTTATTATGCTAATAATATGATCTAAAAAATGATAAATATTTGAAGAAACTATTTTTTTTAAAAAAAATGAAGATATTAGAATAGTTTAAAAGATAATTCAAATTTAAAAAGAACGAAATTTTCAAGATAAAGGGAAAATAAATGTCAAAAGAAAAAAAAAGATTCTTATATTCGACTAAACCTAAAGTAAAATTTTTAACGTATTGAAAAGTCGGAGTTTGGGCATATGCATCCGCTAGTTTACAAATCTTATTCGTCAAAGGAATACCAATTTGAGGAAGGCTATGCTTGATTTCGGAGTCTCCGCAATTCTGTGCAGAATGTTGAAATTGAAATATTTACAATACAATAAAATTCGTTTATAGAAAATTAAAAATAAATTATCCTAATTCTTGAAAGGTATCATTGATAAAAAAAAATGTTTTAACCTAAAAAAAGACCTCCAGTGGGAAAAAATTTTTTTTTTATTCCCATTTTTATAAAATCTTTTTCCATCCATTCAAATAAGTATAATCGAGTTTTACTACAAGTTATATCGGCATATTTTATATTAGTATAGATATTCTATCATAGTATCACAACACTTGTATAATTCTATTATAACATCATGATCCTTAATATACAGCAAAATTTTAAATATCGGTGAAAATACAAAGAAAAGGCGCAGAACAATGATATAATAGAGCTGCAGTGACGCCTTCACGTGATCTAAATTCATGATTTGTTTTTTGCCTTCATATGTTAATAAGATGCAATTCAAAAAAAATTATTTAATTATTTTGTTTTACATTTTAGTAATTTTTGTTCGGAGAAAAATAAAAACTTGATCTATTTCTAATGAACCTAAACTCTCTTATTATCCTATACTCTACACGAATTTTCTCCTTCTGCGATCCCTAAAATAAATTAATTAATAATGTATTTATTTGTGTCATTTATCAGCACTCTGTCGCGCACATGATCTGAAATTTTTATGCGTGCGTGAAAGCATAATCTATTTTTCTAATGGGTTAAGGCCCTATAAAAAATCTTATTCATTATTTCTGTAAATCTCCGTAAATGTAAATAATTTGATAAATTCTGTGATATAAGGTTATTAATTCTAGAAAATAAGGGATTTAGGGTAAAGAAATTAGAACATTTAGGAGATTAGGTAAGAAATAAGAATGGTTTGAAATCTTTTCTGCGGACCAAAAATAATATTCTAATTCACGTGACATATTTATCTCGGTATATAAAAAAAATTGGTATCGGGACATTTCACCGAAAGCCATTTCGCCGAAAAATAATCTCTTGCCTGAGTTATTTATAATTCTGCATAATGTTGGCCCTATTTTTCGGCGAAACGTCCTTTCGGCGAAATGGCTTTCGGCGAAATGTACCGTAACCAAAAAAATTTACATACCATCATATACCGAACCTTTTTTCTTGAACTTTCACCAGCTGAGGTTTGACTGTAAACAGATAATAAATTGATATAAATTAAGATATAAATTTTGACCTTTGGAAAGTGGTCTTCTTTAGAATAACATAATCTGAAATAATCTTAATTTCAACAAGTTATTTGATTTGCTTTTAATTAAACATTAAATAAATATCAATTCATATTTCATTATTTTATATTTGATCATAATTATTTATTTCAAGTATTTTAATTCGTTCATTCAGATTAAATAAATGATACTTAAAGACCATTTTTTATCATGATTTAAGCAGCTACGTCACAAAATCATGATCATGAATTTATAGATTATTCAACGGGTTAGTGAATTTACCATTGATCGCACTAACAAAAATAAAAATAAAACATCAGAGATTTTAAAGAAGAGCGTTTAAGATTAAGCCAAGAGGGTAATTACATAACTTATTGTTAAACTTTGTAATTGAATGATTAATGTGTGCATTTAATTTATTTGACCTGATCCAGCACGTCGCGAGCTTAGACAATCTAATAGCAATCAAAACATAGTAATCAATTATTAAAAAAAAAAAGATCATAATTTGAGTATATAGCAGAATACTATTTATTTTTCTTAATTATCTTAAAAATAAACCTAATTACAATGTTTGAGACTACAAGAGATTCGATTACTATAACTTAATGAGATAAAGAAATATTTCTGGGTTAATATTCTGTATAATTGATTAAATGGATGATCATCCATTTAGATGAACGCACAATTAGCATTGATGCTTATTCATACGTCATTGGTTCTAAGCTTTGAAATGAAATAATATGAATTGATGAAAAAAGAAATTCATCCACTCCTACAGTCCTATAACCTATTATTTTGTTTGAGATGAAACTTCCCGAAAGATTCGCCGATTCATATTAGTGATATTACTGTGAACATAGTTATTTCTCTTGTTTCGTAGATTACGGTAGTAATCTATTTATGAATCATTAAAAGTCTTCCTAATTTTGGAAGTTTATCGAAGAATTTCATATCATTATGAAAACGATCTTGTTTAATTGCAGACAAAGTAAAACTAAACATCTTTATATAATCTTTATTAGTATAAAGCTTAAGTATGATTTATCATAAACTTTTAAGTTTCGTCATGTTTATATGATTGATAAATTGTTCGTTGTTTATCAGATACTTTGACGTTGGGATAATGGTCGAACATACTTTTTAGTTTACTAAGATACTCGTCTAGATTTTTTTTTTTTTCAAATTAAAAGCGGCTTTCAAAAAATAAGTAAATAATTCTGATATTATTCAGACAAATAGAATCATGCCTGTTTTTGATATACTGATAATTTTTTAGACTAAGATACAAATAATTACTTTTGATATTTTTTGATGCATTACGTATATATATGAAGCATGATCTTGGACATCTACAGACTGCTTCACAGTTTTCACAAGGACGCAAGAATCCCGAGTTACATACGGCCAATAAATGTGGTTCAATTTTTTTGATAATAATAATTGTGCAAATTTAAGATCAGACAGTTTTGAATTTACAAAAAAGTCAATATGTAAAATGTATAATTCATGATATATAAAACTAACAATGGTTTTCAGTGGTACAAAAGTTTCATGCTTCTACATGTCAATTTCGTTTACAAAGAGAGTGGTCATGTCAACTCATGTAAATTTCATGAAAAATTATTTTCTAGTTATGTGATACCGTGGTCCCTTGGTAGCATCATGATATGAAGGAATTCCTGGCGCAAAAGATAATCTTCAATTTCACAGTTTCTTGATTCTGTAGAAGTATGTTAATTGATCTTCTGAAACTGTCGAAACCCGAAACTTCCAAAACTAAACGTCACGTGAATTCCTTTTAATTGGAGACTAAATTAGGCGATCTTTCATCTAATCATTCTCATAAATAACCATTTCCCTTTTTTCTTTTAAAAACAATCAATTATTAATTATCATTTTCTTTATTTTCTTTTAACTGTCTACGCAAAATTTATCTTTTCTAACCCTTCCTCAAATGCTACTCCTTATAATTCCAACAAAAAAAAGAAAAGAAAGGTTCTGGTGGTCGCTTTAAGTCTTTGGTATGAGAGACCATGCTATATAAGGTAGAAAAGTACCAGAAACAACCTGTGTATACTGTGATCTATTTTGGAAAAAGGGTTAACCACAAGAGTTGGAAGCATTTTTACTAATGATTGTTCTAAAGTATCAGCTGGTACAAGACAATCTTGCAAAAGCCGAAGGAAATATATCTTGATTATCAAAATATTACAAAAGATGATATAACCAATCTTCCATCTAAAAAATGAAAACCTAATGATGGTTCAATTCAAACAAAAATAGGAGATTTTCATCATTTCATGTAGTATTAATTCTCTTAGGATAAAACTCATGAAATTGATCGTGCTTGTGTAAAAGCATTTTTGTATGTGGCATTCCATGGCATGTAATTGAAAATCTTGTTTTATTGAATTTTTGAAGACTCTACGCCCAGGATATACTCACCATCAAAAGAATTACTTTCTGGCATCCTTTTATCACAAGAAACTGCAGTTGTAAACACACGAGTTATTAAAGAATTGAAAAATACAGCAAATTTAATATAGTGTATGTTATTCTCAACATTAATGTTTAGTGATTTTAGTTAATCTTTATTCTTAAACCTAACAGTCAATTGGAATTTTTTAATTCATACATCCAACCATAGAGAATATTTGTGGGCGCTAAGGTGTCTATTAAGTTAAAGTCATACTGGCGAATTTTTATTCGAAACAATTGATGAAATAATTGATGAAATTGGTCCAGCAAATTTTTCAGTAATTGTAACAGATTCAGGAGCAAGTATTCTACAGAAAATATATAAAATATTCTTTAATATACGTTGTATGGCACATGATATTAATTTGATTTCAAAAGATATTTGCTCTACTTCATCTGCAAATCGGATTTTAACAAAGTGTAATACTGCAGTGACATATTTTAAAAAAAGTCCATCAAAGGTAATTTAATTTTAAAATTTATCATTTATTTATTTTTTGATATTACAATTGGTTTTATTAATTTTTTATTGAAAAATGTTCTGTATTAAAAGAAGCTAAAGCCTGTGATATTAGTAGAAAAAGTGGATAGATACCAGATTGCATACTATGTATGACTATGTTGATTCAATTATGCGTCATAAAGTACCATTAGAAAATGTAAGATTTTGAAATTATTGTCTGAATTCATTTAATTACTGTTTTAACAAATAATTTCTTTTTTTTTTTTGCCTTTTTTTAGTCAAAATTGAAACTCTTTCAACAGCAGTATTGTCAGTTCTACGGTCACGTGCGCTTTATTGATGATTTATATGCGTTAGCATTTACATCCTATTAAATATTTATGGTGGTTATTATCGACCTAAATGTATAATTGGTCAACCCTCAAACAACACAATAGTTATACACGCAGCCATCCATACTAAAAACAAAAACCGATTAAATATTATGTATAGAACTATTAAATAACACATTTCACTACGTACTCTGTCGTATAACGCATATAACGACTTCCTTGCACGTTCTTCAATTAATGGTCAAAAAATCAATCCAGGAATTTTATATACGGATCTTGAACCTCAATTTAATGATAGTTTATTTTTTCCTTCAAATACGACAAACTCTTTTTTAATTAAAAAAAATTATAATTATTCTACTATTTTTCTTCTTTGATCCTTATAAGTTCACAATTAACAGACTTTAATCATTTAGAATTTATACAGATGGTTCGCTCATACGAGATATTAAACGACGTTTCCAAAATGAGATTTGGATGATATTTACTACAAACATCGACCTAGATATCAAGTACAGTAGATCAACTGTTCACTGTTCAAGTTCGACAAAAGCCAAAACAGTTGCTATTTTGACAGCTTTAATTGTCTACCCTATTCATGTAAAGTAGACATTTACACGGACTCAATGTGTGCAATCTCGACTTTCAATTCATTAATGTCGCCAAAATTAACACCTTGACGTTTACAAAAAATTAATAATGTTTTATTTTGGCAAGCAATTAAGTATATTATTAAAATGCTTCATCTCGATGTAACACTACACAAAATCAAACACATTCTAGCAACATATATAATGACAGCCGATGACCTAGCAAAAAGGCCGCGACGATCCTAACTCGTTACAAATCTCGCTACTTCGGATACCCGATCAACTATGCACAGTCAAGTTCAACGACGAAATTACTATATATCGAGACTTAAGAAAATCTTTAAAGAAGATCATTAATTTCAGAACTCTGGAACATCATATTTCCCATCTCATCAACTAAACATTTCACCCTTGATTAAATTATAGATTAGGAATACACACAATTATGGATAAAATATAATCCTTTTGATAGACCCACTAGCCTCAAGTATAGTAAGCTGTAAGCTGGCGTGTTAAGGCTTCTAGTTACAACCTCCCGACTTTAGACATACTGAACCGATATCTTGAAAGGATTCGATCAATGTTTTTACTGTCATGATTCACCAGAAACCAATGAACATTTGTGGATTTGCCCAAAAGTTTTAGAAATAATGAAACCCGTCTTTGATAAACATAAAGAAATCTTTAAGACAACGATTACAGCTAATTCTGACAGTTTGACTGCACTATATGAAGATTGCATAAGTTTTTGTCCAATTTTTACCTGGACTAATAACCCTCCGACGACATTGAGTGAAGCTCCGACCCTCCACTGTTTATTACTCAATTTAATCTCAAAGGATATAATATACCCATATAGAGCTGCAAGTTTAAATAAAGCCTCGATCAAAAAGTTATTATTAAAATTTTTATCAGATCTTCACTAAGATATCTTCAAAACTTTATGGCATGCACGGAAGTACCGAATGGAAAAAATGGAAACAGGAACACCAAATCACGAAGACAACGTTCACGACTTACTTACCGGAAACGCAAACGTCATCATGAAGACCATTTTTCTGGTCCATCTAATGAATCAGCTCGCGTCAGCGACTCACATGGTTATATTAATCCGTTCAATGATTCTCGTCGCGCTCTCGACAACTCCATTTTATGGATATACCTCACTAGTTCAAATTTCCGTCATGGATGTCATCATTAAACATAGACTTATCATCTGTTACTTTTACTCGTTCACACAATAGATTTAATTATAGTTTACTTTATTTTATATATAGGCTCTTCGGTTTCTTTTTTTAACTCTTTTTATTTTTTTTTTGATTAGTTCTGGTCTTATTTTTTTGTTCTTAATTTGGGCAGTAGCGTAGTTCTCCTGTTTCAAATAGCAGTTACCGAAGGGTGAGGTCCTGCTTGGCAGGATGAATATCAATGATCAATAGCTTATCTTTGTTTTCTTTGTATACAAAATACTATTAATGTAACTGACTTTGAATAACCACTCTTTAGAAATAAAATAAGTGAATAAAACGTCCTATTAAATAATCAATAGAATGGAACCGGAAATACAAGCGAAATTGGTTACGGATTAGGCAAATTCTTTTGTCTAAATGTACCTCTCAAAGATGGAATTGATGATAATAGCTATGTTTCATTGTTCAAGGATGTTATGTTAGATCATTATCAACCAAGTGTTATTGTATTACAATGTGGAGCAGATTCTCTCGGAAAAGATAGATTATGAGGTTTTAATATAAGTATTAAAGCTCATGGAGAGTGCGTAAGATTTATAAAAAGTTGGCAGATTCCCTTGTTAGTTCTTGGAGGTGGCGGTTATAGAATTCCTAATGTAGCAAGATGTTGGACTTATGAAACTGGAATATTACTTGGGTTTCCAAGTGTTGAACTTCTTGATAGGAATTTAGAGATGCTAGTTTAGAGATAGAAAACCTTTAATGTGGAGATAATGAATATTTTGATGGGACAGTGATAATGATAAATGTTGATATGATTTAAAAATATAATTTTTTTTTTTTTTTTATTACGAGTAACTTTGGAAATAAACGCTTTTCTCGGTCTCTCTTCTTTTTTAGAATCTTAGTGATTGGTAAGATGTTTATAACACTTTTTATTCATTTTCGTTTCAAAATAAAAATTACACTTGGCTAAAGGACAATTATTGGTCAGAATAGGCATATCATTAAGAAATTGGGTTTTAAAGGACGTTGACTAAAATAGACAATTAAAAAATAAAAAAATAAACTTGGATATTTGAGCCAATTGTTCTAATAAATATACAACTTTATAATATTATCATATCTTTGGTTTCTAATCCTTTCCCGAATTTTTATTGTCTATGTCACCGCCGAACATTAAGTAAATTTAATAAAGAATAATTATATCCAAGAAATCAACCTAGGCTTCGTTCATCAGCTCAAATCCTGAGTATGCCTACAACCATAACTATAGCAGCAAAAAATCAGTACTACTGCGTAACTGCCTTCACTTAAGACGGAATTTGTCCAAATAATCTATAATAAATAATAAAAGATTAAAACTAAGTTTTCACATCAATCTCTTCAATCAATATAAATATAATTTGAATGCTAACAAACCTGATAACGCTAACATATTTGAAAAATCATGAACCGCTCACTTGTGTTCTGATCCTAATCACTTGTAATTGAGCTTGTAAAGTAAATGTTCATGAAAGAGCAGGATAACGCGGCTTGATTTTCTCAATAATCTTTAACCAAGTGATGAATTCTTTAACAGTATGTTATGTAACATCAGATTTCTTGCGGCCGTTTTGATGCGCGCAATTTTTCAAAATACGCATCCGTTTCTTGTTCTTCCAAGTAACAAAGAATTTCCTTTTGGATGCTTCTCTTATTCAGTTAAGAAATTCTTTAGGGTTTCAAATAATTAAAGGTGATGCAGTTGAATCAGACTTTACTCATATAATAATGTAATCTAATGATAAATTTATTCCAAAAAAAAGGAGTTTAAAATACCTTTAACTGCGAATAACGGTACATTAAGTTCTTTATATTCGAATTTTGAAAATCTATGCCTAATTCTTGCCACTCCTCTATTTGATCCATCTCGCCTATATCATTAGACATAGCTTTTTTTAAAGAACTCTTGAATATTCCAACAAAAAGAAAAATAAGTCATTAATCTTTTAGTAAATTATTTTTTATCAAATTATCATGAAAGACGACATTTCAAAAGAAAAAGAAGTCATTGATAGTAAATAATTTTTATCATAAATTACCTTTAAATAATAAGAGAAAAGCATCTAAAAGGAAGATTCATTGTTACTTGGAAGAACAAGAACAAAGATCGCGCATCAAAACGATCGCGACGTGCTCCTGAAAATGTTACCGTTGAGTGTAATAAAGTTGATAAAATTATTTCTTCTAAGCGGGCAGTTTTTGTTTCGAGAAAGTTTTGAAGTTTTTTAAAAAAATCTTTCAAACTCCAAAAAAAATACAATGTAAGCTTATTTTTAAAAGATCTACATAAGCATTTGAAATCACATGATTTTCATATGATCGGCCCAAATTTGAAACAAAATATGGTTGGCCATAATTTGGGCTGACTCCATGCATTGTGATAATGCCAGCCCGAATTATCATAATATGAATCAAATGTAATTTTTTTTAAAAAAAAATGTATGACTTTTATAAAATGGTATTTACTGAAATCTACTTTTTCTTATGTTTAAGAAATTCCAGTTTTTTATTGGCTGAATTCTGGATATATGATATAGAATCAGCTACTTCTGGAGGTCGTCTAAAGTGGGGGCAAATCATGTGACTTCAAAAAAAATTGTTTTCATAAAATAAAACTTTTACCATATATTCAACCATTCTAAACATGCATTTTAAATGCATTTTTGCCTGCTCTGCAAGTTTACTTAAAGTACAGAGTAGCATAGCAGACATCACTATTTTATCACTGATCATTTGTCAATCATTTGCTGATCATTTATTCAATTATCACATAATATAATACCATTGCTAAAAAAATTTACATAATAAATATATGCTCAAATTTCACAAATAACTTAAATTTAGTTTTAATTTATTGTATATTAAATTTCATTAGAAACATTTTAACTTTTATTATTATTTGGCATATATTTATTCATTTTACAAAATTATTCACTAAATATGTTACTAATAAAAAACCTGCATTATGAATCAGATCACTGCATTATTTTTTTTATAAATTCTACATAATATAAAGAATATTTGTGCAAAGTTTTGAGTTTTGCCCATGCATATTCATCTCTACCCATCAAATTTTATCTGATGATCAGCAAAAAATTATGAATTATCACATATGAATAATGTGTTATAAAATATTAAAAAATTATGCCAATAATTATATAATTAAAATTATATAATAATTTAATGCTTAGCTTATATTTCCATAATTTTTTTACCACATTATTTTGAAAATATTTGTGGCTTTTACAATAAATTTTAAAATTGGAATTATGTAATCGGCAAATGATCAGCAAGGTGATATAAGCATGTCCGCCATGCTGTACAGAATAGGAATATAGGGTTTTGAATACTGTTTTTGATTTATTTAACTTTTCAATTTTGCTATCCATTTTTGGATATGATCAACAAAGTTTCATTCATTCATATATAAAGTCAAAAATAATATGCAAAATCCACTTTTTTTCCTTAAGTAAACTTACAAAGCAGATAAAAATATACTTAGGAAAGTGACACATATTACGTCATATTCATTTTACTATGAATTTTACCCCCTTTCCTTCTTGTCAGATTTAATAACCAATTAAATTTAATTATACAATTTATATAAATAGAATAAGTGTAATGTCAGATTTTAATTATCTCCCTCCCCCCTTTAATAATTATGTCATATGTGTCACTTCTCTTATATTATGATTTTAAAGTTTCTATTAATCTTTTTTTATAAAAAATTAATCTAATTAAAATTACACCAAATCACGTGATTTGCTTCCACTTTAGATGACATCTAATTTAGCATTACCCCAAAAAAAAATACTAATCATGTGACTATAGGCCAGTTCATAATTGTTCGATCGGCATCTTTGATCAGGTTACACTAAAATTGTGACAAATAAAATTCACCTCAAAAACGATTAACTAGCTGATTTTTTGACCTACCAAAAACGTAGATCTCTATGATCGAATTGATAAAATAAGGGTAAAGTACGCGTAAAAATGTATACTAGACGTGTTTTTTCTTTCTTATTTCCTCTTTACTAATGGAATTTCCGAAAGATCCTTTAAACAACCCTCAAGTAAATATTTCATATAAAAATAACAAGTTACTAAGGCCTATTAAACCTAGAAATTTATACCCTTCACCTTCTACTGGAATTTTTGAATAAAGTAATGTGGATTTATACTAAAATCCCTTACTAACAAGACAAAGTTATGTTGCTCCTAGTTTTTATATACAAAATGGAAGCAGTTTTGGCCAAAGCTTTTCTGGGCCTAACTATTTTGAAAGAGAATCTGCAGAGTTACAAAGATATCAAAAAGAAAATGTTGTTGATGATAAAGTTTCTGATGTAGAAATTAATAATCAACAAAAAAAAGAAAAGATTAATGACGAAAAAGAATTAACAGTGAGTAAAAGTACTTTATTAATTTTTTAGTTGTAATTTATTTTATTTTAATTAAAATTAATTTAGGATGTTAACTACAAAAAAAAATCTAATAATAATCGTAAATCTGGTAATGAGGGCGAGTCTAATAACAATTGGCAAGTCTATGAAGTTAATATTTTACTTCAATACATTGCAGATAATTTTGATGAGTATACAAAAGGTAATAAAACTAAATTGTTTAATGAAATGTCTGTAAAGGTATTAAAAAATAAAGAGCCTAATACTATTAAAAGCAAGTTAGCAATGATGATCAAATACTATGGTGAGGTTAAAGCTCATAACGAAAAATCTGGTGTAAAGAGAAAAAACTGGGATTGGTATGAGAAAATGGATGCTATTTTTGGTACTCGTGAAAATATAGCACCTTCTTTTATAGTAAATAGATCTACTGATATTGATAGCAAAGAATCTTCAGATATAGTACCTAAAACACCTAAAAGATAAAAAAAAAATAATGTAGATACTATTGCTATGGCTATTTCTACAATGAGTGAAACTAGAAAAAGAGTATGGGAAAAGAAGCTTGAGTTAGAAAAAGAAAGGATTGAAAAAAATCATACTATTGACCCTATAAAAAGTATTTATATTTAAAATATAATTAAAAACTTTTTAAAATATATTTAAAATATACTTAAAATATATTTAAAATATACTTAAAATATATTTAATTTAAAAATTGCGAAATACTTATAATATACTTAAAATATATTTAAAATTATCTTAAAATATATTTCTAATATATTTAATTTTTGCCCAAATACTTAAAATATACTTAAATTATATTTAAATTAAAATTTAAGTATATTATAGATATATTTTTTATATACTTAAAATATACTTATAATATATTTCATAATATATTTTAAGTATATTTTAAGTATGTAAAAAATATACTTATAATAATCTTATAATATACTTAAATTTTAATTTAAATATAATTTAAATATATTTTAAGTGTATGGGCAAAAATTAAATATATTAAACATATATTTTAAGATAATTTTAAGTATATTTTAGATATATTAAAAATATATTATAAGTATTTTGCAATTTTTAAATTAAGTATATTTTAAATATATTTTAAGTATATTTTAAGTATAATACTTTTTATAGGGTGAAATGGGTAAATTAGAAGTAGAAAAACAGAAATGGGAATTTGAAAGAGAGAAAATGAAAATGGAGCATGAACTAAAATTGAAAGAGATGGAATTTAAACAATCAAACAATACGAACTAATGAAATAATATTCTCTTATAGGATAATCTTAGTATATTTTTTTTTTCTAATAGCTTTAATATAATTTTCTTTTTTGTAAATAGTGATAAGTTTATGTAATAATTTTACAATAATAAAGGTTTTATTTTGTAGTGTTCAATATTTGTATACAGTCAGACCTCTATATATCAATATCCTATGTACCGATAATTGCCTGTACCGATAAATTTTCTATGTCCCGTTTCACAATTAATAAAAAAATCTCATTGTACCGATATTATATATGGTTTCATGATGTAACATATACCAATACTTTTCTTGGCCCCTTTATAATTAATACATAGTAAGATGTACTGATACTTTAGGTTACACTGGTATTAATTCGGGTCAACACTATGAATTTAGCCGGAGTTAACATAAAGGTTTCATCCAAATCACATGATATTTTAATATATTAGCTATCCAGAGTTTACATAATGCTGGCAAGAATTGGATTTTGGCCCACATTATGATTCACTGATGACGGTTATGTAACGATAATTTGATATACCGATATATTTTCCTAAAACAACAGTATCGGTACATAGAGGTCCGACTGTATACTGTTTGCATAATATTCATAATAACATTTACAGATGACATTGAATTTTATTAATGATTAATAATTAGATTCATTAATTGCTCTCTTTTTCTTTCTCCTTCTCTTTTCATTACTATTTCATTTTGATTTATATCTTTATCATTATCACTATCATCATCACCATCTTCATCATCATCATTTTCATATAATTCTTCTACATTATCATTATTTAGTTCTAAAAAATTATGTAAGATGATTGCACATTCAGTAATTTTTACAACAGTAGAAATATCTCTAACATTTAATTCTTTTAAAGCAATAAATCTGTTCTTTAATCTTCCAAATGCATTTTCAACTACTACTCTATGTAAAGAATGAATTACATTAAATCGAATTTGTGAAGGATTTTGAGAATTTACAAAAGGTTTAATTAAAAAAGTAGATATAGGATATGCCGAGTCTCCAAGTAAATATTCTTCTCCTTTAATAATTTTAGAAATATTTCGATAAAAGTATGAATTTTTATAAATCTTAGCATCATGAACTGAGCCAGGCCATCCAATCTCATAATCTATAAACATACCTCTGTAATCTACAATTCCTTGCAATTGTATAGAATATCTTTTTTTTCTGTTCCAATATGTTTCAGGTTGCTTTAATGGCGCATTTGCTAATACAATGTGACTACCATCTATTGCACCTATAATATCTTCCATTTCACCAATATTTTTAAATCCTTCATGTATATTCTGCTTGGCTTCACCTGTTGGCCATTTAACCAAAGTTTTTTTTAAAAAAAAAATCGCAATTATTACTCTTTTACAGTATAAATAAACGGTTTCTTCTGCAATTCCAAATCTTGAACATAATTCAAATATATCTTCTTTAGAACTAATTCTTCTCAAAAAAATTGCAAGTTGTAATTCAATAGGAACTTGTAAATGATTACTATTATTTTGAAAAATTGGATGAGTAATTAATAGGGAAACAAGCTTTTGAAAATTTATAGAGTTCATTCTAATGATTTTTTTAAATCTACAGTTTTCATATTTTGGTAAAATATAGTGTTTTGATCCAGATAAAATCTTAAATATTTTAAATGAGATTATTGCCGAAAAAAGATTGTAAATCTCAGTTCTGAATAGACTATAATTTCGACCAGAATATTTAATATATTATGAATCAAAAAATTGGTAATTCTGATAGTTCCATCCTGAATTAACCGAAACGGATATCGGATAAAAACCGGATAAAACCGCTTCGGATCCAAACACTAGTAAAATATAATTGTACCAATCTTTTGATTTTGCTACATGATAAGATCTTTGCTCTAAATATCTTATTCCAAGTAATGAGATTAGTCCAAGCATTACCAAATCATCCTCTTCTTCTTCACTTGAATCACCTTCTTCCTCAAATAAATCTTCATTTTCCATATCTTGACAAGCTGTAATAACATAAAAAGATAATAATTCCCTTATTTTCTTGTGTTTAGACATTTTAACTGCTGTAAAATTTTAATTATACTTTATAAGAATAAAAGTAATGACTACGCGATAACTTTTGTATTCATAGATTAATCAATATATGCGATCAAGCATTTCAATTATGAACATTGATTGTGAAATTTAGTGTAACCCGATCAAAAATGCTGATCGAACAATTATGAACTGGCCTTATGTAAAAAATCATCACATTCGTCACACCCCTCAGCAGTGTTGTACATTTTTGATATTTGCAACTTTTTTTGGTTGTTCTGAACATGTCTGTGCTTTGTCTGTACTCTTCTGTAACTATTTATTTATGCATAATTAGATGCTAAACATTTTTGCTAAGTATTGAACAAGATTATCATAGAAAAATTTTGAGGGTTATCATTTCTTTTTTGTGTAACATGTCCTGAACATTGTCCCATGACAATACTGCCTTCAGTGTTTTCATTTATCTGAGAGACAGTTTTTTTCGAATTGGTAAAAACTTATTCGTCACACATTATTTGTTACTGCACTATTCACGTGACAGTGCATAATTCTACATAATGCTAGCCACCAGTAGAACCCTACTTACTTACAGTATAAGATAGGTCACCCTCAGGCCTAAGGTAAAAATCATATATAAAATTCTTTGCAGATCCTACTATAAAAGGAAATTTTATGTTACATTGTTATGATTTTTTTCCTTTTTAGCTAATTAACCAATAGAATTTAAGAAAAAGTAAGGTAAAAACTATTAGTAAAGGGCCAATTTTTTACGGTGATCTTTATTATAAATAAGCGGAGTTCTCCACCAGTATTTTTTTGGGTAACGTTAGGTAGTTTTTAGATGACCTCTACTTCTGACACCATATTTAATTATTAATCCATTATTCTCCTGATTTCAGAAATATTTAGTAACTATTATAGTATTTCAATTTAAATAGAATAGAATATTCTTATATTACTATTATAATGATAAATTTATTTAGTTGGAATCTATAAGCTATCAATTAATATTTACAAAGGAATTGGTCATTCTATAGGATATCTTCTGGCTTCCTTTGGTTTTCAAAGGATATATACTGTAAAGACAAATCTTAAAAAGCTAGATTATAATTTTTTTATTAATAAAAATTAATTTTAAATTTTTTAAAAAAAAACTAATCATATCGACATTTGCATTTTAATGTTTAAGATAAAAAGCATAGGTATACAGTACTTATTATTTTACGCCAATGCGATCGCTAACTACAACTTTCTAAACAATTTTTTTGATGGAATAGAATAAGTGCTTGTAAAAATGCTACCTATAAGAATTATTATGAAATGCCAGTTCTACATTTGATTACATAACTCGATTTATGCAGTATTAATTGTGAACTCATATTTATGTAGGTTGTTTCTATTGACTTTTTTTATACTGTATTGATTATTTCATTTGCCAGGATTTTAAATAAATCACGTGATACTTGACCAATTGGAGCATCTGACTATTTATAGAGGCCAATAAAAATAAGATCGGGTTTGTGCTTAACCGCGAAATATGAATAAGTCCATTATTTCAAAATTTTCCGCTCTTGTCCTAGCAAGACTTTTTAAGCAAACAATCAAAAGAAATTTAACAACTACTCCTCCTCTCCTTCAAGAAAAGAAAAAGCAATATGGCTATAATTTGGTGAAAAAAATCGAGAGTAAAAGAAAAACTTTTCAAGAGGCAAAAAAGAGAATCTATTATAAGTTTTTTTGTAAATGTAGAGAAGGGTTCAATTCTTTTCCAGAGTTCTTGGAACATGTAAGAACCTCGCATAAGATCAAAAACTTGGACTTTCAAGAAATCTTGACTAAAAAGAATGGAATTGGACGAGGAATTAAATTCTATTGGAGTTTATCTTGTCAGTGCGGTCATAGGTTTTCTTCCTCTTTATGTAATGCTGATTTGAAAGCAAGAGAGGGACAAATTGAGATACTAAAGAAATATCGCCTTCAATGCTTAAAGTGCAAAGAAGATGCCAAATTTGATGTAGAAGAACTACTAGACGAGTTTCTAAAAGAAAGATTTAAACAAAAATTAGTTTATAATTTTTATAAGAAAGAATTTGCTGAATTTGAAAATGAAAGAGACAGTGAAAAAATATTAGAAGGTCATATAGAAACACTTTGTGAAAAATGTAAATTGCTTCGTAGACATTGTGGTAGTGAATCAAGTTATCAAGAACAAATTTAAGTTAGTTGAGGTTGTAATTTTTAAATTTATCTTATTAAATATTAGATAGCAAGGTCTAAGTTCTTAACTTGGATTTTTTTAATAGTTATATTCTTTAAATTTAGTATTGGCATATATTTTATTTTTTTTTTTTACTTTTTTATGGGAATTTGATGAAATTTGCTGTCAAATGATTAGTGTGAAAATTTTTTTTGTCTCTCGAAGTTGTGCGTACTTGAGATACTGCTATAAAAGAAAGATGCGCAGTAAACTCATCAAGAACTATTATGGCGTTTCATAATTAGAGACTCTACTGTGATTGCTGAACTGGAATTTGCATGCGTTGATTTTATTTGAAATAGAATTTCTGTTCTAAAGAAGATATGAAAAGTATCGGATTACGTTACGGTTCTGCAGACTGCACTTGAGATTTGCAGTATGTGTTAAAATGTATTGTCAATAGAGGTACCGTATATCTTATTATTTTATCATAACAATAAATTAATAGTTGTTACAATAATCTATCTAAAAAATGAAGCTGATAGTTGAGCAAGATTACTCAAAATAGTCGTCAAGAAAAGCTTGTTGGAATAGAAAATCAATTGAACTCTTTATCGTTAAATAATTCGGAGAAAGAACTTGCGCGCGTTTTCGCTTTCAAGGTTTCATCAAATAAGAAGAATCAAAAATTGGTTCTGATAGAGGAGTACTTAGAAACTGTTATATTACCGATCATAATTTGTCATGAACATTTGCGCGCGTTTTCACATTCATGATCAGGTTAAGCTGCATCATATAATATTAATCATAAATCGGTTATTTCTTATCATTGCTCATATTGACAAGGATTTTTTTATTTGATTTTCTGATAGAGAAGTACAAGTAATGTATTTCGGTACATATTATTTTTTGTCACGAACATTCGATCACTCAATAATTGCATCGTTCATCAGTTAATCGGCGCAAAATATATTGCGGGGTGTTCGATTTTCTCTATCATTACGGGATGACACCTCGTCGATAACTTTTTAATCATATATTTTAAGTTGACAAAACCTCATTGCATAAATCATCCTTTAAGAGTTTAGATAAAACACACAACTACATTACCTCCACTAGTTTAGGTTTTTTCGAAAGATTTCACCTTTTTGGAGATGACTATTATAGAAAGAAAAAAATGTCTCCTTTTCCTCAGGTTGAACATTGCCGTTGTACAGGTTGAATATCACATACTCTTAAAAAGTAAAAGTAAATATATTACGTTAGAGCTATTTTGCGTATTCTCTTCAAATTTTAACAAGGCACAGTCGATTCCACGTCTTATTTCTTTCTCTAGTTTTTCATAGGGTAGTAATTTATTACCCCTTATTACCGGAGTAATACTGGAGTAATGTTATCTGTATTTTCTGATAACACAAAGCTTTCAATACGATCTAATATTTCGTTCAAAAGAGACCTGACGTTCATCAGTGACGCGTAAATTTGTGATGATTGGGCACTGAGCTTAAGAAATGATCCAAAAATTGTAAATGATGATCTCATGTGATATAAGTGTGACGTTCATGATAAAGAAATTTATTAAATTTACACGATTTAATGCGGACGCTGTTATCAAATTCATAGCACTTTGCCAACTTTTTGCTTTTACCACAAATTCGGAGAATTGAATTCTTTGAAACAGCTCAATTATAAAAGATTGAAAAAGCCAGTGAAGAAATTAAATAGAACAGTAAGTTGAAGTAAATCAAATAAAGTTTATGGATTCTAAATATAAAAGCTATTTTAATGGGTTTGATAACAATTTAAGTATTTCATATTAAAAAATTTAACTTACGAAATTTAAAAAGATTTTTGTATAATAAAATAAAATTTTGAATGTTACAGAAAATTAACCAATCTTATTCACAATTTTATTTTCCCATGAATCATTGCTTATAAACCTCCAAAAAGAAGGTGGAACTTTGCAATTTTCCCAACCATTTTTCTTGCATTTACTAACAATAAAACAAAATCTTTTCGAATTTTTAAAACAGAAGATGCTCTAAGTATACTGGTAATAACCGATTTTAATTCTTTCAATAACCTTTTTTCTCCCTTCGAGAATTCGTCATCATTGTCGTTATCATCATTGTCGTTGTCATCGTCATCGTCATCGTTATCGTCATTATCGTAGTTATTGTTGAATTTATCATGTAGAAGCGCAAGTTGGATAACAGATCGGTATAAACTAATTGATGCCTTTCCTGACATTTTATCTAACAAACCCCTCAATAAAATTTTTCTGTTTGCTTCTTCTCTATTGTAAGTTACTTCAAAATTCTGGAAATCTTCAATTTCTACTATATCAACAACCTTATTATCATTGAAAAAATCTATAATTCTATTAGCCATTTCATCTTGAGATGCATATTTTTTTTTTAGATCTTTTATTTTTATTACTAATGTTAAAATCAACATTTTTTCTTTTATTGCGTGATTGAATTTTATCATTGGAAGGCAAGCTTAATTTCAATCCTATAACGAAAATATATCAATAATCAAAAAAATTAGATAAAGTAAAATAAAAATTTCGAAAATGTAATATCTTACTTTCATTTTCAACAATTGAATCTTCATACATCATTGAAATTCCTATATTGGTAAATAAATTATTAAATTATTAAATATGAATATTATTAGCAAGACTCTGTCTTACTTTCATAGTCAACTGTAAGACTATTTAATTTATCGGAAAGTGCTGTATCGATAACAAAATAAATGACGATAATAAAATAAATGAAGTAAATAAATTAAATAAGAAATCATTTGCTGAATAAAAATAAATAACTTACACCCATTATCTTTAACTAATTTGCTCAACCGATCAACAAGGATTACAAAAAAATAATCTTGTAAAAAAAAAAAAATGGAGAATACTAGATATATAATTTCTTACGTCTATTGTCTTTCTCTAAACCTTTTATTTGCTCACGATACACTAAAAAATTATTTAAAAATTATTTAAAATTTAATAAATTAGAAAAAAGGGGATAAGAATTTTAATTACTTACCAGCATTATCTTCCTTTGATAATTTTAACTCTGTCACGATATCTAATTATTACGAACTGATTAATATCATAAATTAATAGGCCATTAAAGTATGTTATTTACCAACCATAATAATCGCCACTATTTATTTTATTTAATTGTTCTTGAGTTTCTAAATAATTATAAAATAAGTAAATTCTATAATGATAATATCAAATATAAATCGATTTTAGATTTAAATCTTACACTTTAATTCAGATTCTAAAAGAGAATATCAAAGATTAAAACTTTTTTTTTTTTCCCAAACCAGCTTCAGATAAAACATTATCTGATTCTATATTATGAATTATTTCCCAGGATGCATTTTCATTCTTAGCAATAACTTGATGGTTAACAATGGATTTAGTTTTAGAAATAAAAATATAAGAACCATCATTTTTATTATTTAAATAAGAATAAAGTGTCATTAAATTGCATTTTAATGAAGAATCCATATTTGTTTTTTAAATTTTTGTAATAAACTGTTGCTATTTAAATAAGTTTGGCACAGGCACATAATATTCCTGTTACGTGACAGGAAGTATTTTTCTGTTACAAATATGTAATCTAAATATCACATATCATCATGATGTTATACAAAATATTTGTTAAGCATTTATCAAATATTTCAATATTTAATCTAAGCGCTTTTTAAACAAATTTCAATGCAGCTTGTATTTGGTAAACACAAGTATTGGTAATTCAAATGCATTTATAGAGTATTCAAATTTAATACAATATATATGTTTGATTTAAATAATTAAAATGTGTTTAACTCAAATAATTAAAATGTAATAAATTCAAATAATAAAATATATTTGGTTACAAATAATTGAATATATATGCTTTTCTATTAGTTTATATATATATATATTATATTTTATAATTTATAGTCATTATTTATTACTTACAATTCTTCATAAATAACCTTTATTTTTGGATGTTTTATAGTGCAACAGCCATTTTTATCGTGGATATTTTTCCAAATTAAGACGTTATTTGGGTTAATAGCCAATAGTTATATATTTATTTCAAGTAATTGATGATTTTCTTTAATCTGTAATACTGAAAAAGAAAGAGACTTTACATCTAATTATTGCAAATTTACAGTGATTAGTTAATTTTTTTTCTCTATATTCTTTATATATATTTAATAATTAGTATTATTTTAGTTAATAAATTTACAAGTTGATTTATAATGAAATTGACAGTACTATTACTGTAAATTAACATCATATAACAAAGTTAGCAAAATTTATAAAGGATTTTTAAACTATTTTATTAGTATTTATAGTTGCATGAAATTGCTTATTGAAATTTATGATTTTATGTTAAAAATATTTTAACAATCAATTATTACCATTTTAAAGAAAAAAAAATTATTACCATATATATAATAGAATTTTCATTTCAGTTAATATTTTTAATCAAAATGTTAAACAGTCTAAGAATGCTAAACTAGGACCCCGGACAATTATAATAGAAGTCATATCTGTGATACTAATAAAAATTCAAAAAAATATACATAAATTTAGTCATTTTATTATACATTTTTATCCTATAATCTTTATATAATACTAAAATATACTTTTTTATCATATGACCTTAATATATATTTATGTTAAAATTTTATTTTTTTTATTTACAGTATATCAATATCATATATGTTAATCATCTTTAAAATAGGGTAAATTTAGATATCACCTCTATATAATGTTTAAATCTAGCAGATTAATAAAATACATACTGTTTTATCAGGTAAAATTTATACTGTATAATAAAATTTTATGATAACTATGTTATTTACAAGATCAAAATCAATATCAATTTTACAACAAAAAACTATAATTATGTCAAAAATCAAAATAAGTTGCTAAAGGATTAAGAACGAAAGTTATACTATCAAAGAAGTACAAAATTATTACCAAGATATGAAATCCAAGTACTTTCTAAGCTGAAATTTGGATTTTCCTAAAAAAAAGAAAGAAAGGAACATTAATGACTATTCAAAATAAAAAAAAAATAAAACAAGTAAAAAAAGCTAATTACCAAAGTCTGAGGTCCTATGATTGCAAAATTCATGCTAAGATCCATAAAAAAAAGTAAATTAATGATGTTTTAAAATCAAACAAATGCTAAAATGAGAGATATTTATTGCAATTTTAAAATCAATACCAAAGTTCAAGTTAAAATATCCCTAAATAAAAGAAAGAAAATCCATTAATAATGTCCTTAAATAAAAAAAAATAACGTCAAAACAAAAAAGAGAAAAGAACACATATCCACTTGTGATTTTAAAGTTTTTTGAAGTTCGAGTTCACTCCTAAAAATAAGAACATTAGTAAGATTTATAGACAAAAAACGCAAAAATAGTAGAAATAATACTTTCATACATTTTTCATACTTAGAATTTCAAAAATCCATACCAATGTTCAGAATGGTTTGTCTTAAAAAAAAGAAAAGAAACTCCCACTATTCCTATTTATGATTTTAGAGTTTATGCTGTTAATACTGTTCTAAAGAGAGGAGAGGAGAAAAAAAAAATTTCAAAATAAAATTTTTTCTTCATGTCACAAAATCAAAGTATGATAAAAAGTAAAATACTAAATATTAAAATATACACTTTTATAATAAATTTATATATGACCTTGAATTTTTATCTGAAATTTTATACTTTTTTTTATTATAATCTATTTTTGTAATATACTATTTTTGCATATAACATTTTCTTAAAATATACGTTTTTTTTATATAACCTGCTCATTAAAAATACAAAATTTTATATTTATTTTACATATGACCCCTATTATAATTATTCGGGTCCTGCTAAACTGCTACATCAAGAAAAATTTGAAAGGTTAAAGAGGAATGGAAAAAGTCTTAGAAGAAAGTTTGTTCAAGTTTTCTTACTTTAAAGTTTCTTCTGATATTAGATTGAAAATTTGTCAAATAATAGAGCACCAAGTAACCATATATTTAAAATAGCTTCATTTGTGTGGAACTTAAAAAATCAACTATTTAATGCATTTTGGGCTGTTTTAAATGAATACCATGAAGTAATAATGATGGTTTTTGTAAAAGATAAATCAAATAATTGAAGCCTGATTTTCCTTAAAGCTCTACTATAAGCTTATTGCAAATTTACGGTGATTAGTTATTTTTTTTCTCTATATTCTTTATATATATATTTAAATCATTTATCATCAATTAAATTCTTTATATGTTTATTCATTGTTTCTGAATTCAGTTTTTTGACTTCATCCAATAGCTGTGTTTGTAAATAATAATTACTCATAATATTTATGATACCGGTATGTTGCATGATTTTACATTCGCATTTGCTGCATCAGCTGAACAAATCGAAGAAAATAGGAATGTTAGAAAGTTATTCGCACTTTTTTTAAAACTTTTTTTTTAGGTATTAATTTTCTTTTACGTAATTTTATTAAATAATGGCAAAATAAATAAATTAATTCTCATGAGTTTTGTTCTAAAATATTGATCAGAGTTTAATCATGATCGCGAATTTTATAATTGATAAGAGATAAAATATTTAAAAAATAAAAAAATATTTAAAATATTTGATCCATAAAAAAAATTTATCTTTTTTAAAAATAATTTGCTAACCTATTGCCAATATTTTTAAATTTGAATTTTTTAATATTTTTTATTGATTTTATTATTGATTGTAATTTTCAATTTCTCTATTTCAGATAACAGGTTATCAAAAATATTCGAGTTAATTATAATTTTGTTTGGAAAAGTAGCCTTTGGTGGCGTGGAAACTCCTCTTTTTTTTGGCAAAATGATTATTTATATGATAAAGAACATACAAAATTTTATAAAATACATCTAAAGTTTAGTAACAAAGTTACCTCCCTCCATACCAAAAACCGTTACTCCATATAGTAACGTTGTAGTACTTTTACCTACTACCTCAAATATATTATTATTACCTAGATTGATTTTATTTATTAACCATTTTTAATTTTTCTATTCTAATTCTTTTTTTATAATTTGGCTATTTTCTAGATTTTTTTTGATTATTATTATTTTTTACTAAAATTATCATCTCAATATCAGATTCTCTGCTTTCATCCTTCGTTATATTTTATGAAATCGTTTTCTTTTGTCCAATTTACGAATACCTTGTGATTTCTTAAACTCTATTATTTCACCACATATCGGTTTCCATATTTCATAAATAAACGTCATGTATAGGATAGATCACTTATTTTTTAGTAACCGCGTGTCCTCTACCTTACAATGTTTATATTTCCAAATCTTAATGATTAAGCGTGGAAACTCTTCGATACTTTCAATTTTACGATTTTTTCTACCGGCAATGTTACATCATGCGCAACCCAAGGGAATGATATCATATTTTCAGAATCATCATCTAATTCCGAAGGATGATATGATACATAATACCAAGCATAAGCTTTAGACTCCATTCTACTACGAACCCCAGGTAAAACAACACTAGATCCTTCGATAAAAATTCTTCTTCAAATAATTTTCGATAATGTCGTTTAATTGGAATTAAAGCTTCCATCACAGATTTTTTTACATCGCGAGGTTCCTTTTTATCAACTTTCGTAATAGTATTCACGATATATCCACTAGTTACTTCAATTTCGGTAATAATTCCAAATTGATTCATTAATCCTCTTATGTTTGCATCATACTCTCGCTTTAATTTTCGTGCACCATATAAAAATTCTTCATACGCATCAGCATATAATCTTTGATCAAAATTCTCTACATTTAAATTAGTTTGTGGTTCTTCTGATACATCAATAGAACGATATAAAATACCGAGATGTTATTGAGACTCGATTTTTTATAAGATTTTTCCATAAAATCTGGAAATTCACTAACACGAAGTACAGGTGGAAATTCTGGTGGTGTTCCCGTTTTGGGAGAATCTACGGCATCAGAACGTAATTGTGCAAGACATATACATTGCACCTTATTTTCCGAAGTTTCGCAACGGTTCCGTTTGTTAGCTCCTCAAATTTTATCAACGCCAAACTGATGAACGTGTTAACATTCCCCGGATTATAGATAATAAACGTCTTAGGCGTTTCTTATATGTGTACATTACGACGTTTCACCTCAATCAAGTGGAATTTCACCTTTATCCAACGCGATGAGCGAAAAGTTTGTCATATCTTCACCATACAGATGGAAGGGATCGAGGGTACAGCAACTCCACAAGTCAAAAGTAATTTGAGATGCGCTAAATGCTCTGAAGACCTTTCCTCGTGTCTCCCTCCTCTAGGCTTTCTTCGATTCTCCCCTCAAGCCCCCTCGAAACAACTAGTATATTTAACGTTTTAACCAAACGTGCATTACAAATGATAATCTCCACGCAAGTTGTGTCCATATTGCCCATCGACTAGCGGTGATACTGTATTCTCCTCCCGCGCCACATATATTGTGATAATTGCATAGACTGCTCCTTCAGGAGAGCAAAACCGTTTAACCAGCAATATGGGAAGGAATTCTCTCTTATGTTTTAACCACGTAATGCACCAACTTCGGAAGAATCTGCTTTTGCTAAATGAGCGTTTCGCGATCATACCAAGTTTGTCAGAAAAGAGATAATTTTACGAAAAATTTTTTGATATCTTTCATCGTTACATTCACATTACATTTTCAACCATTCTTGGTTTTTGAATCTGATAATTCAAATTCTCTGCGATCTTTGAGAGATCCGGTGATATCGTCCCGCCCTGATGATTGATATAGGATACACAGGGGATAAATAATCATTGTTTACCACATTGCTGATAAAATCATGTGATCTAGTATTATAATTGGTTCCTTACATTATTATTTGAAATTTGGCCACATGTCGTGTTGTCTGTACGAATCAATGCCGTTTGGTTCACCAGCTCCTTGAACGCGAGAATGGAGAACTGAATTTCCTTCAGTTCCAGAATATAGTTGACTCCAACTAAGTCCATCTGCCGTGGATGGTCAAGTTGTCCCGGGACGCACCCCAGCCGGTATTTGACGCATCTGTGTGAATTACGGTTTTTGGTTCTTCCTGGATTAAACTTCTTCCATTCCAAGAAGGAAGATTTTTTATCCACCACTCGAGTTGCTGTATGCTTTCGTTGGAGTTTTACAGTACCGCTCCACCCGTGCAGTTTCAGACCATAATTTTTGTCTCGGAGCTACATTTTAGGAGGGAATCAAACGTTCATCATATATTACACTAAATTAAAATTATTATTTTTTTTTTTTTAAAAAAAAAAGTCAATAACTTAAACATAACTTAAACAACCTTAAATACTCTAAAGTTTTAAACAATGAGAAATAAAGATACATACGTGAAATCGTCACCATCTAGATCACCACCGCTACATTCACTAGGAATATCACGATAACCAACCGCTGGGAATACTAGAAGAGCGAATAAGATCGCTCTTAACTCTTTGGTTCCTCTGGAATAAGACTTCGTCCGTTCCATAGAGGTAAGTTCTTGGTCCACCATTCCAATTGTGCGATGCTTTCTGGGGAAAGTTCTATAATAGCATTCCAACCTTGCTTCTTCAGACCAATATTTTTGTCTCTTAGTAGTGCGCGAGAATGCAATCTGGCTGGAAACATAGCGTCCGTTGTTGCTGTGATCTTTCCTATAAGAGAAGCTAACTTGCGAACCGGAATTCCGGGTCCATTTCTTGAATTGCTTTTATTTTTAATAGTTCTGAAATCTCGTGAGAGAACACGTTCAAATCTATGTCTCGTAACGTGTTTGAGAAATAGGAGTCCGGATATAACCTTCACGTACAATAGACGTAGCCCAACATTTCCCAAACAGTTCCGACCATCGGTCTTGATATAAACCAAGACCTCCAGCCACCATGTCCATAGAGGTCGTTAAGCTGAACTCTGGCGGCTCCGCTACATCTACTAAATGACTTAAAGCCTTACATGTTAAAGCTGTAACTATACATATATCTCCTGGGTGAAAGCAAGGATTTCGAAGTACAATACACCTTCCAGTTATTACCTTTTTACTGGATGGGTTACATGGGTCAGATATACAACAATAAATTTGACACTTGTGTAAAGTTTCGGTAACATTCAAGACGCCTAATAATGCCCCAACGCGAATTTTTGCCTTTTAATGTCTCTTAACATTATGGTACGAAATAATGAAATAAAATTCATTAAATAACGATCATTATTTCTTAAAAATTCCGCTTTGACAAGATCAGCAAGTGAGGTTGAAATTCCATATTCATCAACATTCCTTTGTAAAGCACCCAACACCGTATGTTCGCTTTCAAGCATTTTATCCAATTTCCTAACTCGTAAATCTTTAATTCAATAAATACTTCATCAGAAATTCCTAATGCGGACAATAATGTAATCGCCTGACGATTGAGATATGCTGATATGAACGTAGAACCTCTGATAACTTCTAACACATTATGTTGACTAGGACGAACTTGAACTTGATTATTTTTCACATTAATTAACTGAAATAAAACACCTTTATACCCAGCCATTTTAATTTGAAATGCACTTGGAATAGTTTTTAAATACAATTCATAAGCAATCTTCTTTGTTAATGAAAGAGATTTCCTACCCCATCAGAAAAAGTGAACCCATTTCTAACTATATCAAGAATTTCTTCAATGTCATTAATAGGTAGCCTTTGAATAGCACGAGTACTTGAAAAACACTGACCCACATATTTTGCTACACTTTTATTTGTTGAAAAATTCCTCATCCAATCTCTAACCATAGTGAAAAAAACCAACAACTATGATCTCTTAATCGACTAGCAGATAAAGCCAAGAATTCGTAGTGCCTATCACCAATAGTTATGCCATCACGTAAAGCACGATAAACTCCATTATATAAAGCATCGTTAGAAGTATCACTATTAGATGAAGATGAACCAACTTTACTCTACAAATTGGACACGTAAAAAATGATCTTTCTTATCATGAAAATAACGGATCACCCTATTAGAAGTTTCCATGGTTGGAGTTAAAATATAACATGTAGTAGGAGTTACACCAACTTTACGCACCATACCACAATAATATGATATATATTTAGGTTTATTATCTATTTTATATTTTAAATCCTCCAATTCTGAACTTAAATATGTTAAAGGTTTATAGATCCTTTTCTTCCTTGAATAAATACCTTCCAAAATATCAAAAGAGACCTACAGTAGGTTGTTGAGATAATAAAGAAAAGAATTCTTCACAAAGGTTATACTCATTAAGGTAATTAAAAGAAATATTACATTCGACCATATAATTAACTTCAAAGTTTAACAATGAACGGTTCACAAAATGTTTACGTAAATCAGTTACTCTAACAATTTTTAATGGAAAATTACTAATGTTTGAAGTTCTAGGAGCCAAATTATATTCACCGGCATTCTCAATTAATTCCAAGACCTTCAATAGAGTTTTTACCAACTTGATCCAAATCAAAAGTTATTCTAAAGACTAGCCATTTACCAGGTTCTTCATTATTTTTATGAAAACGAGGCATTTTTTTACCATCCTCTGTAACTTTCAGTAATATCATCACAATACACCAATTAAATTTATTTGATTTTTGATACTTATCTAATACCCAATATTTTGCGGGGTATTTATTTTCTATAGTAATTGAACTACGAGATCTTTGTTGAGAAGCGTCAAGCTCAGAATAAATATCATCGATTATATCCTTAAAATCGATTTCAAGCTTAAAAGTGCGCACTTTATGACCAAATTCCACAATTATTTTTTGTTTTCGATGATTTATAGAAAATTTTACCGATTGAGTAAATTTAGCTTCAGATACAAATACACCAGATAGTAAATAATCACCCAATTCTAAACTTTCAGCAGGAAAGGAATAATCAGTGAAAGTATCAGAACTACAATATTTTTGATAATCGAGTCGTAAAAACTTTTCCATGAAAGCGTAACGATTTATTCCAGAAAGGATAAGCGGGTACAGGTCTAATTAAATAAATAATTTTAAAGGGATAAGTAAATGATAATTTAAAGGGTTGAAAAAGAATAAATGTATGAAAAATACGTACTTGAATATGATATAAGCAGTTCCATTTGAACATTCAGGAGAGACATAAGTTTCTTTTGTCTCAATTTCTACTCTATAAACATTACCATAAGTAGTAAAAGCATCCATTATATTAGTTGAAGTAGCGTTAGTTTGAATATCACTAACTCTGAATTTTAATTCAGCAAAATTTTTCCATTCGCGAGGAGGTTTAATTTGAGGAGGTTGAGGGTTAATTTGAGGAGGTTTAATTATTTTTTTACGACCATTGTAACTATTAGGTTTTTTATAAGAACCGGCTTTCGCCTTTTTACCCATAAACCATTATTTTTAAAGATTTTAAAATGGATTATTATTTTTTTTTTGAGGATATTTAAGTATTGTTTAAGAAGATGATCATACCCAATTTGTATATATGTAATGATTGAGCTAAAAAAAAAATTTTTTTTTTTTAGATAATCTTTGTTTCAATATATTTTATTGATTATCAATATAGAAGAACTTCAATTATAGTTCAAAAAAAGGTAAAATGGACAAATAATTCGAAACTCCTAATATAAAATTTACGAATCAAAAATTCGAGATTAAATTATATCGCAATACAAACGTATAATTGGTATTTAAAAATAGTGATTTAGTTATAGAATTACAAATTACAATACCCTAACTTATATTTGAACAATGGACATGAATTATTAAATTAATAATCAAAAATTACGAGAATAGCAAACGTTGTATATTTAAACATTTCTGGGAATCATTTTTGCAAATTAATTTTTTTTTAAAAAAAATGTATTATCATAGAGTAATAACTTAATATTGTACATAAACTCCCAGGTACAATGTATACTACTCTTTTTTGCATATGATAAATCAAAACGCATGTTACGCAAAATTTCAGATGATGTAAATAAATCGAAAATTTTCCAAAATAGATTTTTTTTCCCATGAAATAAAAAAAATTTTATTAAATATCATATGTATTAAAAAAAAAAATATCAACTTCTTACATTAATTAAAAAAAAACAAAAAATATTTTGCATTTTTTTTTCTTTGATTAAACCCCGATTATCACTCATCTTATCGTAGTATATTTGCTTTTCCTGAATCATGTAATCATATGTTATTTTTTACCAAGAGTTTAAAACACCAAATATAGATTAACCTCATTACACCCGTAAGGAGGTGCACCTAGTTTAGTGAATCAGGCCTAAAATTCGTTAACATGATATGAAAATCTGGTATAACTCGGAAAAATTTTGTATATTGCTGTAAATTGTATAATACTTGTATTATGGATAACGCATCACACAAAATATCTTCGTTATATTAAATAAAAATTCGTTATAAATAATAGTTATATATTATATACACTGGTTATAGACTTACTTCGTTAAACGGTATACAGCATTTTACTAGTAATCTTCGGTATAACTACAACACCGAAGGAATTCGTTAAATCGAAATTCGTTGTAAAGCGAGTGGACTGTAGTATTGTAACTTTGTTCAAATAAATATTGTGTACATATGAGTTTGACCCATTTTAAGAATTTTTTCGTATGATATTATATAATTTTATTTTTCATGGATATAAAAATTGGTGATATTATTATCAGTTATATTAAAATTTAAACTTTTTCAATTTTTAACATAGTATTATATAATCAAAAATATAATAAAAATGAATTTCATCATAAATTATAAATCCACGTCACTCTTGTTATTACGTATCACAAATTTTATATATATATTTTTTTTTTTTTTTGTAGCAAATTTCAGTGACGTAACGCGTGCACTTCGCTACGTGATCCAATATATAAACATGAGGACTTTTTCTTAGCTTATATTTCTTTAGTTTTGTTTTTTTCAATTATTGTTTTTTTTGTTACCCGTAATCCGTAATTAATAATTAATTTATTCATTCATTTATTTTGTCCCATTACAAAATGGTAAGATGTAAAACGCTTCCTACCTGTAAAAAACAACCAAATATCTTTTATCCACAACAAGAGGACGATATCAGAGTATGTGTCCGAAAACGCCCGCTTAATGACAATGAAATCTTGATCAATGAGAGAGACATTGCCGATATCCGTAACAATTATACTCTTAAAATCGATAAACCTAGGTGAGATTTATTTACTTTAATATTTTGACTGAAATACTTTCGGATTTAATAAATTTTATTAATTAATTAGAACTAGGGCAAATACTAGGAATTGTATTGAACGTCACTCGTTCACATTTAATGAAGTTTTTGACGAAGACGATAACGGCAATGAGGTAAAAATAGAGGATAACGATTAATGTTTTATATGAGAGGGTTTTATTTAATTTGTAAAAATATGCTAGGTTTTTATAAAAACGGCATTACCATTGATCAAATTTATTTTCAACGGGGGAAAAGCTACGTGCTTTGTGTAGTATCCCTTGATTTATTTTTTTTTTTACAATTACAAATCCGTATTGAATATTTAATTCCTTCACCAAAAACTTTTCTCTTTTTGTTAATTAGTGGTCAGTCAGGTATTAATGCACTACGTTATATTAATACAATGATACAATAGTATGGTATATATTGGTAAATTTTTTTTATCTTTATTTTGGTTATTAGGGAGTGGCAAAACCTTCACTATGTTTGACCAGAAATATGGTAAGTATTGTATTTAAGAAAATTAAAACTAAAAATTTTACATTTAAGTAATTTGATGATTTCCTTTTTTTTTAGGTCTTTGTGCCTTTGCAGCTCAAAATATTTTTACATCATTAAAGGAAGAAAAGAATAGTCATTTAGAGGTGTATGTAGCATTTTACGAAATTTATAATAAACAGCTGCACGATTTATTGGATAATCGAAAGAAGATTGTGGAATTAAAAGAACGTCAAGCTAAAAATGATATAAATCTGTTGGAATTTATTAAACTCGGAAATACTAATCGGAGCACCGGTTCGTTATATTTTTCTTAAAGTAAGATTATTTAACACACTTTAATGTTGTATGTTAATATATTTAGGCAGTACTGGAGCAATCTTGCAGATAATATTGAAACATAAAAACGAATTTCATGGTATTTCGTTTTATGATATAAATAAAATAATCTTAATGGTATATTGACTTTCCTAATTAGGTAAAATTAGTTTTGTCGACTTAGCCGGAAATGATAGAGAACTTTCTGATATGAAATCAAGGTATGCGATGTGTTGGGTTTCTGTCTTCTGTCCGCATTTTTTCCACATTATTTTGACGAATAATTTTATTGTAGAATGGAAATCAACCAAAGCTTGTTGACTTTAAACGAATGCATCCGAGCTTTGGATCAAAATAAAAAACGTATACCTTTTCGTAATAGTAAATTAACGCAAGTATGTTGAATAACTTTTACTTAACAATAAATGAATGTAGTTTGAGTTTTTTTTTTATTTTAAATCGCTTATTATTCTCCCCAAACAGGTGTTAGAAGATTCCTTCGTCGAAAATTCAAGAATTTGCATTATCGCGACAATATCACCGAACGAGTCGAATATTAGACACACATTTAATACTTTAAGATATGCTTGCAGGTAAGTTAATTATTAGATAATGATAAGTTAACATATAGTAATATTAATCTTTTTATATTTTGGGCTCAACGGATAAATTAGAGTTAAAGAGTGAATTTGATTTATTTCGTTAAATCTATTCACGTGTATCCATCATATTTAATGCCATGCAATTCTATATATTCTATATCAAAATTTACCTTATTAGAAAAAGATTTCTGTAAAGCTTTTGATTCATTTTGCTAAGTTCATAATCGCATGGTGCCAATAAAATTCTTCTCAACTGCCTTATAGACTTGTTTAAGTGACCATTTTTTTTTTGATATAATATTTTCAGTATATTGAGTTGATCTAATAATGTTAAATTGTTTGCTATAAACATATACATTAGGCCAGTTTATAACGGGGTATTTGGTCGGTTACACTAAAATTTGTGGCCAATAAATTTGTTTGTAGAACAATCAAATATGCAACTTAGTGTAAAAGCCGATCGAACAATTATGAACTGACCTATTGAAATACTGTAACAACCCATCTATAAAGAATTGCTAATATGCCTAACATGGTTCTATTTTCACTAATATGTATAAAAAGGTAATGAAGTAAATTATATACGTTGAAAAATATTCTTGATTTAAAATATTTACTATTGCTATTATTAATTTAATTGGTTTATTTACTTTTCATAATAATTATAAAATGTTATTAATAAGTATTTAATTTTTCATTTTAATATTATTGTTATATATATAATATTCTCCTAAAGTATTTACCCTTGGTTTTTGTAATTTTTTTTAATAAATTTATCCAATTTTTTTTTTTAAATGAAAGTATTCAATTATAGCTAAATTTTGTGTGATTGCAGATTATTTTAATATATCAAATATCAGATATATAACAATATAATAAATAAAATATAATCTATTTTCAATTTTGCCGAAGATTATACATATTTTAAGATGATAATACATCTATATATACTGTTAAAGATATAAAGAATTGAATTGCTAAAAAAGGATTAAAGTTTTACCAGATTGGCATTTTCAATTTTTGGATTTTAATTTAATAGAACATTTATGAAATGAACTAAAACAAAAAATATGAAAACATCATATCTGACCAAAGAATCTTAAAAAACTTGAAATGGCTTTACAAAGAGAGTAAGAAGAATTCCATTTGAAGCCTACATTAATTTAATTAAAAGTATATACAGTATAAACAAATTAATACATATATTAAAAGCTATAATTGGTTTATAAAGTATTAAATATATAAATAAATAAATATATTTTTTTATTAAGTAGATACTTTTAGAAGAATGCTTTTATATAATTAATCCATTTATTTATATGTCTAATAATTATTGTACAAAGTTTATTATAATATTTGTAATATAATAATTTAAATATAAATTTGTAAATAAACTTATTTATTAATAAAAATATCTTTTAAAACTTTTAAAAGTGAAACTGAAAATAATTCAATTCAGTTATACTAGTAATTCAATAATTTTAAAACCAGTATAATATTTTAATATATTTCTAGAAGTATATTTAAATTTAAAAAAAAAAGTATATTTGATTTTTTTTTATCAATTTTTTAATATATTTTAACTTTTTTTTTTATTAAATTATAAAAGTTATTATTATATTTACTACTCTTAAAAATCCTTTAGGTCAATGTAAATAAATAAATAAAATTATACTTTTTAAAATACAGATGCATTATTATATCTATAAAAAAAAGATTAAAAAAATTTAATTTCTTTTAATTTAAAAAATAAATTTGCATTTTTGATAGGACCCAGAAATATATATACAGGGATAGGATACACAGATGCGTCACCATCATAGTGGAATTAGACGGAGTAAAGTTTTGATTTGCATACAATTTTAGAATTTTTTATCTATAGTTAGGTCATCAATATTGCGTATTTTTTATCAAAATTTTTATATGTAAAAAATTAGTTTGCGTATTTTTAATCTAAATTTGGCTAATCTTATATATATAATATATTTACTGTACATACTTATTTAATTAACCACATTGTAATATTTAGCATTAATTGAATGAAATTTCTAAGGATTAAAAAGTGAAATTTTAGAAAAATATTATTAAAAAAATGGTAAATTCTATTTTTTCACATCAGTATTTAGTTTATAAATAATATAAAAGTCATGATAAAATAATTAATAACTTAATGTCTGAAATTTTATTTGCATATTTTTGCAGGATTTTCAATATCAGATGTCAATTATGCGTACTACTCATATAAAAAGTCTCTGCGTACAGCTCATAGTAAAAAATTTTTCGCCACCTGATCCCTATATATTTATTTTTGGGTTCTTTTTTGATTTCTAAAATATAATTATTCAATTACTAATTATTAGTAATGCATTTTTCTATAATCATCAATCTTAATAAAAAGGCTAAATTATTTTACCTATATTTTTTATAATTAACTTTTTTTTTATTTTTTATATATTTTACTAAGTTTTCATACTATTTATTTAATAGAAAATATATGTGACAATTTTTTATATAATATATTTCAACTAAATTATAAAATCAGCAATTTTTATAAATATTATATCCAATTATTAAATTAAGATATTTGCTTATTGCAAATATATTACTGATAAAAATCACTATAATCAAATTTAATATAAAGAATATCATACTAATTAGTATATAAGATATTTTTTTTTATTAAAAAATAATATAGTGTTCCAATCCGTCAATCCCCCATCCGTATCCGTCGTCGGATATCTGTCGTTTTCGGATATCCGTCATTTCGGATATCCGTACATACGGATAGGACAGATCACGGATATCCGTGAAAGATTGACGGATCCCATCCGATCCCATCCGAATTAAACGGATCATCAGGATAATCCGATTTTTACTACATAATTCTGGTCAAATCTGTAATGCTGGCCAAAATGATAAAAAAAATTTTTTTTCAACTTTGTGTTACACAAATGTTACACAACATAATTCGGGCTAGCACTATGAATTCGGCCCGATTTAAAATTCAACGGATATCCGAGGTTATCCTTCACGGATATCCGTCATGTCGGATATCCGTACATACGGATAAGACGGATCACGGATATCCGAAAGTGGCGGATGACGGATGACGGATTATCCGCGGATTGTAACACTAAAATAATATACAAAATAAATTTTACTTTTTCTGTTTTTACTTATTAGAATTTATGACTTTCTATATAAATGATAACTATCAATATCTTTAAAATTTTTATTTAGGAAAAACAAAGTTTAATAATATAGCTAAAAATAGTTATACTTAAAATTTATATATAAAAGTTTATGGCAATTTCTATTTGTACATGGGGTGTTTAAACACGGGTCATATTAGTAGATTAAAAACGGCATTCAAAACCTCCTTTAATGCCTTAAGTAAAATTGCAGAGCAGGTGAAAATACATATATTTATCTGTAATATAATAAGAATAAAAAGTAAAAGAGTATAATGTCGGTAGCATTCAATTTCAAATTAAAAAACAAAAAATTAGTCTATTAAAAATTATATTTATATGACCCGTGTACAAACACCCCGTGTAAACTTAGAAATTTTCAAAGTTTATTAATAATTTAAATTTTTTTAAACAAGAAATCTTCTTGGCTTTATTTCTATTTATTGAAGAATAATTGAAACAATTAGATTTTAATAAATCTTTAATTACTATAATTCAAAACCTTAATTTTCCTTTAAATCATTTATCTAATATTTAAATCTGCTTATAATGCATAATCTTCATCTATATATTGTAATTTTAATTCATCTTTAATTGAATATTTAAACTTGAATTTTGGAAAAAAAGTTTTGCATAATCATCTAAGTCAAATTGCTTATTTTAAGTGAAGAACTGAAGATAGAAAAAATTCGAGTCAAAATTCCCTTCAAATGCTTAATACTTTGTATATGCAATTATATTTATAGAGAAAGATGTTATATTTGACAGATTAATCTGGCGGATCCCTGTGACAACAATTCACACGGTACATACATCTACGTGCATACGTGCATAGTTGTATCCGAATTATTGGCCAATAACAGAGCTTTTACGGAATATGCTAAATCTCAAGAATCTGGAACTAATGAATTTAAAAGACCATGATATAGATACATTCCCTGTTGAGACTGCGGATACGGACTAGGGAACGGTAACTGTTGGGAGTCCGGAGCGAAAAGCAAAATCTTAATTAAACTTAATTGAACACGGTAAATTTAATTGAAATATCAAAAAAAAGGATGTTTCGTCATTATAAAATTCAGTTTAAACAAAATTATCATTTATTTTCGTTATTTTTCGAATAAATAGGTTCTATTTTTATCATGCATAAACAAAGAGTAACGTATAACCAAAAGAACCAATACGAATGGATGCCATCGACTCACACAGTGAGCGGGCGGACAACGGGACATTTGTGAAACCGACACGAATAGTATTTAGTCCTTCGCTTCGCTCCGGACTAATGAGATAGTCAATATCAAGATCCAAAAACATATCGATACAACATGGAACATCATAATGGAATACAAACATGGCAATTATTTATAAAGAACTTCCCGTGTAAACGTAACATATGCTTCAAAAATATAAAAAGCGATCGTTCACACAATAAAATTAGTAGATCTATGGTATAAGTGGTATCGACATTCAAATGCCGAATTATTTAGCAATTAAGATCAAAAGGATCAATGATCTAGCCGCGTTAATAAATATAATAACGAATACAAAAATCATAAGTGGCACATAAGAGTTGGATGTACATATCTCCAGAATGGTTTATTAAGCTAAAAAGCAAAATTCGAGCTAGACAAAAATTGGAGTTACGTATTTTTGCGCGAGAGTAAGATAAAATTATCCAAGACGCAATAAAAAAGCGATGCGCTGAAATTCAGACTAACCAAACCAAGTGGCTCAATAATGTATTAGACAAACGGAAACCTCCCATCATTATAGACAAAGCACAATTGTTAATGAGAACGGTCCC